TCGAACTTCTGGCGGAACTTTTACGACTATGGGATAAGGCTAGAATAAGATTAGAAGAGACACACAGGCCGGTTGCTTGGGCCGAATCATAATTGCTTAAAATCTACACTAGAATAATAAATCTTGATTTACGTTTGGCTGAAACATTTACCTCACTCACAAGGTATGTACTAAATGTAAATGTATTACTTGGAAAGTTTTAAACACAACACTGATCCAATCTGGCGAACAAAAGCGTTGTATCACGCTTATTTGCTGAGTGTATGATTATTACCCCCCGCTGAATGTATTGGAATTAACCCTGGTTAGTGCACACTATTTATACCGCCATTTTCAAATTTGTCACTCACGTATGAAAAACAGACAGTTTCTAACTATCTAGTGAATAAATCACGCTATTCCAACCATTGCCATTGACGCAGAAATAATGGAATAATAATAATAACACTCCAACGAAAACTAGGATGCTCTTTTTTTGCCTATAAATCCAGCAGCGAGAGCCACCAATTGTTTACATACGAGGCGGTAGCGAGTGGTCCAACTTGCTCAGAAAATAAACATAATTCCAATAATAGTTATCTCACGCAGACAAATGATGAAACTGAAATAATTAATAATAAGTCTGTTGTAATGTTTTTTTTTATGTAAGCCTTCTCCGCAGTATAGTCTCTCTTAAGGTCACTAATTTATAGAAATAGTGCAGAAAAAATGGTAATATGGGCATAGTAGTTTAGCGGTTAAGTATCAAGCTGAATAGAGAAACTCGTGAGCCAGTGACTATTGAATTAATGAAGGGTTTTGATTAAAAGCACTTTTATACAGTGAAGAAAATAGATTTAATGAAGGTGATCGAGATCTTACAACGACGCTATGCGTATGACAAAGTGATTTTGTTGAAACGGGAACCGATCAAAATTTAAAGAAAGTAATCAACGACTATAGTTCAATAATAGTATACCAATTTGTCTGCATAGGTGCGTCCAATTAAATGACTCGTAGGTAGCTCGGTAGTAAAACGGCTCGAATGTCGCGAAATCCAGGAAAACGAAGGCAATGGTGTGCGCTATATGCTGCTTAAAAATACTTTCTTTGTTTACTATCGACTATGTAAATTCTGTTTTATCAGCGCACTAATGTATGACGTTATAATACCTCAGAGACGTGTGTCAATTACCACTCGTAGTATAGGTCTAGCCAATAGTAGATAACCATAATATAAATAAAAATAACCATAATACAAATAAAGTGACTAGATTGATTAAATTTTGAGCATTTTTGATCGATTAGTAATGACGTAGATTTCCCATAGATATCTCAATGATTTACGGCAATTATCCTCAACGAGTAGACAGAAAGTACGCCTCAATTGTCTTCAGGAAGACTAGGTTTCTATTCGAAAGGTGCACATTTGGGATCGTTCCGAGGCATACGTGTAAGGAGCTGTTTTTTTTTATGAAGCTTTACCACATCTATACGTATAATTGCCTTTGGTAAGAAAGCGAAATTATCACCAAATTTTTTGCTTGGAATTTTTTAGTACAGATATTAATCATTACGATACGTTTAAGGGAAGACTTCACCACAATATAGGTAAAGGTTCATGCTAGGCATTATCCAACTAAAAAAAAAAAAAAAAATCAGAACGTCGCCATTTGCTGAGGCAAAATCTCTGTAAATTTCCTGTTTAAGCAGCAAAACGATATGGTCAAATATAGCTAGGCACGAAATAGATCGTAATTTAACCGGCGATGATAAGCAAACAAGATTTCCTATTCAACGGCCATAGGATCGCGGTACCTGTTTTCTTCTGCCGTTACTCGTCCGAGCGGATTGAAAGCAAAGAAAGACGGCCAAAAATTATACAGTTATTCATATCCAGGTGCTTAAATCACTGAAAGTAACAACATATTAGGGCCATAAGGCTCAAGGCTTACGCAGCAATCACAAGCACGACACAATATTTTTAACAGTAGGAGATATTTTTAACAGTCTTAACAGGCAAGCGCCCAATATAACGCCTTTATTTGAAGCTTGTTATATTTCTAAGGGTGTTTCCAGTATGTAACACCCTTTAGAATTATACTGTGTTTATTATGTCCGTCAATGTGCTCACTATATTTTCGTCTAAGGTGTCCACAGCCATGCAGTTACTTAAGTAGTGAGTTCAAAAGGCCTATAAGTTAGCATGATCCCATCTTACGTTAGGCTAAATTTTCGTTAAGTGAAATGTAATATGCTAGTACCGACATTTTTTCCATCGATAAGAACGTAGAACCTACATCAGAAAATACTTAATGCTGTTTTTACCGCAATTTCTTAAACATCATAGCTGTACTCGATCGCGCCAGTTTCTGAAAACTTTACTAACGTCAAATTATTTACAACGGTCACTATGGTTAATAGAATTCGCATTGAGTATATCAACCTAGTTAAAAATGGCCGTTGGGTTGAGAGTTTGGTCACTTTCAGTCTAGCTATGAATCTGGGCCAAGGGTGCGACGCCAACTGAATTAGGCTCCTATTACTTCCCACAGCCGGCATGATTTCGCCCTGTCAGCTTGAAACTTTCGCAATTTACCGGACTCTAAACGCTGTGGCAATGGAACTTTGACGCGATAGATGAGTCTCTACAAATACAAATTCAGAGAGGTACGTTAGGCGACAGTGTCGTCAATCGTCGTAATTGGACATCCCGTAGTTAACCGCTTTGAAAGCCGGTTTATCAATAAATTTATTAAGCCAGAGAAAACAACGATCATAATTTGTTATCGAAAATATTTTGTGCTTCAAAATAAGATTTCAACATATTGCGGTGTACATCGTACATAGCAACATTGTCTACAGTGCTTTAAGGATGCGACGGTTCATGTATTTTCAGCCATTCAAAGAGCGCACTTTTCTGTAAGAGCAACTCACGTTTACTCGAGCCATTTATTCATATATGTATATGTTGAAACATCCCGAGAAGTATGGATTTTTAGTGAATGAGGAAAAAAAGAAAAAGAAGACAACCTAACATCGTAGAAGAACATAATTGTACATCGGTATATCTTCTTGAGTCAAGTTGCCAGCAGTAGAACATACATACATACATACATACTCGTCACCCAATGGCGTCGCAATGATTTAGCCGACCTAATCCCCCCCCCCCCAATACATTACCCGCCAAAAATGCATGTTATGACATGTGACGACACGACTAGTGCTAGGGCTGCAGAATTTAGCTGCAGTGTTTCCAATGGTCGTGGATCTTGCTTAAGCCTAGGCAAACATGAAAAGCAGGTGCACTTCTACGAAAGAGGTTATTTAAATTTAAGACGCTTGTTTCTCGATCACGTGAAATAAACGGCGCCATTAAGTGAAAAGCTGGTACAACAAACAACGATGAAAAAAAAGTTACGTAGCCACTGTGAGCTAATATGGCTTCGATGTGACACCATCCACCTCCCCTTAGCCCGCGAAATATAAAAACCGAGTGACATAAATAACGAAAGGAAACAAACGAATGATAGCTTTCGCTGTTTTCATTTATAACTAACACGACAGACAAATTTGCAATAGGACTGACATATGCTTCAAGATAAATGCATTAGTTGAAAATTGACGCAACCAACCCATGGAATACCCAGTGAACAGTCTACAGATCTTTATTCGTCTAAAGACGTGCCTAAATTAAGTACACTATAGAAGATAAAAATAAAAGGAGACGCGAAGACATGTGAGATAACGTGATACAGTACAGACAGAAGATGTCGGGACTACTTCCAGCAAAACGAAGTTGCGATTTACTTGAGCCAATGAGCATGCAATTCGTCGATCTGTCTGGTGGCTGGCAATAGCGTCTAGGGTGCTCAAGTCTAACTGTGAAAATCTCTGCATTTATTTAGCTTATCTCTACATAGTACTTGGCGTTCAAATTTTGATCGCACTCTACAAAGTAAGTAACGGTGTGCGTGTCACTCGGTACGGGACTATACTCAAATGCGAGGTTGTCAGAGGCTTATTTCTTCCGAAAAATAAATGCAACAATTCGTGGCTGATTATTACCAAGATTATATTTCATTGTGCTTTAATGAATATCATTGCTATATTATAATAACAATGAAAAAACACGTACGCGGCTTCCTTCAGTACGTTAACTTCAAGATTATGCAGACAAACACCTAAAATTACGTACCGTTGATAAGGTTTCGAATCCACGACTTTTGGACGCTGACACAATATATTAAGCCAGCGAGGATTTCCATGTTTGTACAGCTTATTACAAACATCGACATCACCTCTCAGGGATAGCAAGTGCAACATCGTAGAAAGTCAAAGTTACATTCATTGCAAACTTCCATCAATAACCCATCGATATTGATAGACACTATAGATTCCAAGTGAATATGCGCAAGTTCTTTACGGCTCAAGCAAAGACCTTTCAACTATTCAGAGTATTCAAGTTTCAATGACCAACCCAGTAAAACAGTTGTGATAATGGCGACAGTGGCTCAGCTGTCCCGAAAACATCTATGAGATTCTAACTCTCGGTTCGTAGAATCAGAATCCTAGAAAATCTAGGAAAGAGCTTTTTTTTTTATAGTCCTCGCCGCCTGTACTTCAGTGACCTGATCGTAAGGAATCTCTCTATTATAATAATAATAATAATAACGATAAGAACAAAGGATCAACATTGAACAGCGACGTAAATACCCGAGATGACCGGATTATGTCGAATACTAGATAATAGCGAAGCAAATAAATTGAGGTTGCGGCGACAATGGATAAGTTGCTGAATCATTGAACAGCTGGTTGGGATGATGCACAATAACCGAATAATAGATCGCACAAATTAGTGTCGTGATAACACTACATTTAGCACTATCCCTTTAGCTAGGCCGATTTACTGTAACTTAGCCATAACAGATAGATACGTAAGTTGAATCACTTAAATGGTGTTCTTTTGTGAAAAGAATAGCACCTCTCTAAATGAACGTGAGAAGTTATGGTAATCTCACCTACGTGGTAGCTCTGTAATCAGTTTTCATCCCCGTCACACTAGCACAATTCTTCATGGATTTATCACACACGACAGCCCGTAACTTAATCACTGATGAGGACGTGCATTTACCAACAGAATAATAATCAATTGCAATTGAGTTTCGCGGCATCGCATATGCTGGAAGGCGAACACTTAACGATGATCCACCCGTCCAGCTCTTGCCAGGTACTATTTACGCAGAATCCGTTTCAAAGCGGCGGCGGCGGCGGCGGCGGCAGGTCATCCACGCTACCCATACGCACGCGCGCGCCACCCAACAGACATAGTAAAAAAGCAGATATAAATTTCTCAACCTTGGGCGAAAAGTCGATTTACAACGTTTGGCGAAGCAGCGCCGTTTCCGTTGCGTTTAAATAGCCGACATTTAATAGGCACTATTGCGACGCCAGCTGTCGGTCGTCTAACATTCTTCCGATTGTTAACTGCCCCTTCATGTTGTTCATCAATAGTTGGAAAGCACTGAACTAATTTCGCCTTAATGCACAGACAGATGGTAACTGTTTTCACCGGCTTCTGGTGAGAATAAAATAGTAACTATATCTCAAGGAAGCAACCGTGCCAGCGGTGTCAGCCCTCACACAAATGAAAAAGAACTTCTGAAGCCATCCAACTGAGCCTGAGGCCGATCAACGAAAGTTCGCTTGTTTGTGAGCCAATAAGTAAATCAACTCATCCTACGCTACGTTACGCTAACATCTCACACGATCAGTATCAAGGACGAGTAAAGTCCCTAATTTCTTATCGCTGATTTCATAGGGCGCGGCGGTCCGGGCCCTTTTTGGCGTGCCGTGTACCGGCTCTGTAGAGGTACCGCCTAACAACACATGATGATCGTGTTACGTAATGCTACATTAGCATCTACATAGCATGCTTATCGTTGGTCGATGTTGGTTAATTTTCCTGGTGTCACCCATAATCTATAGGCAAATTGGCCTAGCGATGGCCTACTGATAATTTTTAAACACAAGCTTCACGCCGCTTGTTTTTGCACCTACCTACTCCTGGCCGTACTGGAGCCGTTGCTGGATGAGGAACGACGTCCTACCGTTAATAGGTTCGCTGTTGTCGATCCTGCAGCTGTCACCTGAATTTCTAATTTCCTTTGTTATTCCGGTGTTACCGCCGCTGTAGGCATCGTTCAGCACCAAAATGGTCGTGGCCGATAGAACTTCGATGTTTAGCTCACTTGACAGATGCGCGTAAGAACCCCAAGTAATGTGTACAATAATGGCAGTTTCGTACAGAAAAGAAATCAGCCGTTGCGATAGGTTGTCGAAGATTGAATTGGAATAAGCTTCTTTGGATCACGTATTTGCATTATAGTTAGTTCCGTCTTTGTAGGCACTCATACGTAAATAAATACAATTTATGAGACTGGACACTGTTTCCAACGAAGAACTCGTCTTTTTTTCGCCGCTCTATGTAGATCTCGAATAGGTAGGTAGATGCTGCTATTCCTTTTGTTGCTCTATGGGTGACACACCATGCGTTGTTGGCCATACATTGCTTTGGCCTTAAAATTCACTCAACAATGAATCACTGACCAACCCTTTCCAGACGATTTGTTTTCGCCATTAGACATGCGCTAGGGCGACAACAGCGAGGGATTGCAACTGCTGTAAATTCGATTCTCGTCTGCTGCTGTGTTATGCTTTTTTTTTTTTTTTTTTTACTGTTGCTGTTGTTATGATTCTTGCCTGTGGATTTCGAGGTGAAGAGGTGGTTACCAATTGTCGGTTTTTTGGCCAACGATGCCCATTTATCGCTAGCGACGCCGCTTATCTCTCACCGCAAACACACCTACTGCCGATTCACTGGCTGGCTGGCTGGCTGGCTGGCTGGCTACCTCTCGATCAGCGCTAGTCACATGGAATAAATGAATAACATTTGACGCATTCGCTAGTAGAGGAAGAACCGGCCTCTTAAAAGCTGCCTTACCGTTGTCTCTCCCGCTAGGAGCAACAGCTGCTGCTCGTTCTGCGGTTGACTGCACCCTGCCACAATGCTCTAGTCTATTTTGACGTTCCCCTCAATCTAGCTAGTCTTTTTCGCTTTGGTGAGAGTATGGACAGTCGAGCAGACAGACAGAAAGACAAGCCAAAAGGCAGCCAGGTAGACAGGCATGCAGGCCAACATTGCTGTAGAACTATTCTATTTTTGTAGTTCGGTCATCTAGCTAACTCAGTCGGCGGGAAGCACAGCACAATGCTGCTAGCCGTCGAATGCTGCTGTTCGCTACGAAGTCGCACTTCTGGCAGAAAATACCTACACAGACAGAGATAACGATTTTACGGTAGTGGCATCATTGGCAGCGCTGACAAAATGCAAAAATGATGGTCTAACAGTTGTTGGCAAAAGCAGAATCGTCGATTACCATCGCCGGCCATTCTCTCTCATTTGGTTTCAGTATAAAAATGTATGACTCAGTACGTTTCTTCCATTAACAACTATTTCCTTCACCCAGTTGATTATACTGGATACGAGATCTGACTAGCCAGATCAAAATTGAGCAAATCTGACGATACCTAAAGGCCTCTTCTACATCAGCAATCGTAACAACAACAACGACTCCACGCCTTCAAACGACAAGAAACCTCATCGCCATCTATAATCCAAGAGGCTGTTCCGTCGAAGCTTTTAACCTCTTCTCTTCTTTAGGCTGTATCAGTGATGGTAAACATAGCAGAGCTTCTAATTCGAACGGCCAATATATGATGTACATTTAGGCCGTTTGTCGGTAACGCAATACTGTTCCTCGCAGACGATCTGCCTAGTCGCCTTCACCACGGCCATCGTCAATCATATAGCATTGTCCGTCTCTGGTTATCGATTACTGATTTCGTACGTAGCGACCTGCTGCTATAGCAGTTGAAGCCCCCGTAGCTGCGACTCGCGGTGCTGTATTCCTCTAAGCGGCGGCAACTGCTCCCGGTGCTGGTGGATGCTACTTGGTTGTCAACAACAGCCGTCTCGGAGCTCTCACCCTATCACCAGTTGCCATTACCACCCCGTCCCATTCTTCACCATCATTGCCTTCATCATAACATTCATCATCATCATCGAAATAACCATGAGAACAGCAACCACTATTCTCCTATCACTTGATTATGTTCCACACAAACGCACACACGCACTACGAAAGACACTATTCAATGATGCTGCTGCTGCTGCTGCTGCTGCTGCTGCTGTCGTCGTCGTTGTGGTGGCGATAGTGATGCTGGAATTGCTGCGAATGCTGCAACTCTTCACCCGTACAGGTACACAGTTGACGATCTTTCGTGCTGCTGATGTTATTACTGTTCAATAGTAGCGATTGGCGCTGAGAGTCTGATCGGGCTCGCTCGTAATTGTTTGATATGGAGTTCCCCGCCGTACAGCGTCACATGAAGCGATACAGTTCTCCTGCTGTGGTTCGATCGCTGTTACTTGGTTCTGTTAGTGTGGCGAGAAGCTGCCTGACTGGTTCCTCGTTTATTCGTTACTTCTTCCTCTCACCCCTTCATTGCTAGTCGTCGTACCAGACGCCGTCAGCTCTTTCCACAAGCGCCGCACTCGACCGCCAGTCGCGCCAAGCTGGTTCGTTGTCTATTTTATCGGCGAGTGGTTACTAAGAAACGGAGACGCAGGCAGGAAAGTGTTAGATGACGGCGACTGCACAGATACGTATCATAGCCCGCCGAATAGTGGCCATCGAATACTCGGCTTGAAAGGGTCCCCCCTTTTACCACACTAACTGCTATCTAAGTCAGCAATGACAACAGCGGCATGAACGACACTACTCGCTCCGCTCCTGAATCCACCACCACTGGCTAGTGACAACGGCGTCTGGAAACGGCCGACGCGCGACGGATGCGGTGTTCACCAAGCAACGGGCACCAGCATGACTGTCATGGCGGCGCCTATTGTTGTTTCCAGTAGCAAATATTTGGTTCCTTCCGACGTTGCACCGGTTCACACTGGATGGCTCAAAGCTAGCGAGTTGTGACTGAGTTATTGACGCCAGTTGGAGTCGAACTCGAATAAAACGATCAGCTCCGCTGCTGGTTTTGCTGTTAAAGCAGCCGCAGAAGCAAAAGGAAACAAGTAGTAATTACTGTTAATAACTGAGTTCAGCCGAAGCTACCGGCCGCTGGTCATAGTTTGTGTGAATAGATCCTAATGCTGTATTTTTCCTCGTTTGGGTCCAAAAGAAATAACGCTTACTTTGGCTGTAGCTGTGGCTCGTTGCCTTAGTAGAATGACTGGCTGTGAACGAAAGGGAACATAGTATGAATTGCGAGCGTTGGAATGTACGCTGACAGACAGTTAGCGCACTAGCTACAACTTTAATACGATGGGAAACTTCGGACTACGCCATCTTACGATCGTCGTTTGACTTCGTCTGCCCGACTATGCGGTTATTTATAGCCGCTCGGTAATTCACCTTTAGGACGCATAGACATTTTCTACTTTCCAAACAATACCCGATGCCACTGTTTTTGATTAGTTTTATTAACGCGCCTGGTGTTGTTCTTTACATTACGTTACGAGCCCATACAGAAGCGTTGCTGGCGCTATCGCTGTCACCGGCACAGTTCGGGGAACGGGTAGAGAGATAACTATTACTCGGCGCACCTCGCTATAGATATCCTCCATTCGCTTCACTCCTTTGCGAGTCTAGCCAAGCCGAACTGCTCTTTCGTAAGCAGGCCCCGGCGTACTCATCGTTGCGCTACAACTCTAGCGACAACGTGAAACGATACGCAAAGAATGGCCAAGTCGAAATGCTGCAGCAACAGCGAGAACGCGGCTGACAAACTGTCACAGTAGCGCTAAGCAACGAATTAGCGGACGTTTTCGCAATTGTTGCTTTTCTAGCGTTGAGTGAAGCTGTCGTCTTGCAGTGAAAGCGGACTGCCAGTGCCGTTACTGTCGTCACCACCACATCGGGAGAGGGGCAGAGAGCAAGGGCCATGCCGACTGGTGGAAGGAGAGAGGGATAGTGCGCCCGTCGTTGGAGGAGTGAGGTGGACTGCGCAAGCGGAAGCTATCCATAATTGTTGACTGTCCAATGCGACGGAGCATCAATTAGGCTAAATCAGCTTGTCGCGCCAGGCCGCGAAACAGCTGTGGCGCTGACTGTTTCCCGCGGGCACCGGGACTACAACCGTCTGCTGTCAGATCAATGGGAGAGGACAGTCAGTGGGCGATGTGATTGGGTGTCGGCGGTGTTGACATAAGGCTAGGGGGAAACGTTCGTGTATAGCAGACGACGCTGATCCGATCTGATCTGATCTGATCTGCTCTGCTCTGATGCAGCAAACAGGGCCAAGTCAGTAAAAAAAGATAGAAACTGATCGATTGGATAGAAATTGCGCCCCAGGGCCTCGATAAGTAGAGAAAAAGAGGAGTCGTTCTGCCTCTCGCAAAAGGGCTAAATTCATTTGTACGTGCGGCCTGAATACATAAAAAAAATCGATATATGAATCGGATAATTAATATTATTAGACTGAAATTAGTAAAGATATGATCTCTATGTTGGTTCGAAAATTATGCTTTTTTTTTAATTATATTATACTACATGATTTTAATTAAGAGCTGTTTAAAATCTATTCAGTTGTCTTGAGGTGTTTTTGCGGAAGATATTCAGTAGTAAAACTGGGACATAAATCCACGTTTGAATTTTCTCACGCGAAGGACTAGAAATAATAAGAATTTGGAAAATCTTTACATTTTGTCTACATTTTAACTTTACACTCTTGAATACTTCAGTTATTTCGTTTCAATATAGGACCACCTGTATGAAGAGCCGCACGGCTTTTTTCCTCATTGTATAACTTTATTTTATCGCCATTTATAAATATGCATTCATGCCTTAGAATGTGATCTCTGAAATGGTTCCCATCATGCACCACCTGTAGAGTGCTCCATTCAGACACCGCTAAGAGACTTGACTATTAGACTCTGTAATCTATAATTATCTGTAGAGATGAAGTTTTCGTCGCTGAATAACTTTATAACTTTCATACTAGTATAGTTTGAGACCTTTGGAACGTTCAAGAAGAAATCATAAGAGCTGTTTTAAAGTAATAATGTTCGGCGGCAAACTATTGGCCTAGGTATCCAAACGTCTCTAAGTTGCTCCTCCAGTTTTGTTTTATATTGTTTTTCCTTATTTTTTTTTAATGATAAATGAGAATTAAAACGCTCTCTGGAATGGCAGAACGTTTTGTAGCATGGAAACGAAGTGATCTCAACAATTATTTTAGGTATCACATATTTAATCTTCAAAAGTTTAAGGAGTGACGCTTATTTTAAGGCTGGTGTGATTCACTAACTTGATTTGAAAAAACTTTTGGTTTTCTTGGTAACATAGCCGAACCCGTTACCCTAGTTGCATAAAAGATAGACAGCGAAAGTGACTACTTTCTTTTACATAGAAAAAAAAGATCTAAAGTTATTTAAATACTGTTTACTGATTTTTCAGGAGTGCCTTCTCAGATCGTCCAGCCTGGCAGAGTAGTACCTGAGCTCTGGACCTTCTCTGGGTAGCAACGCATTGCACTCTCCCATCAGCATTAGCGGTTTGCGGCACCATCCTTCAGGCTGTGCGCTGTACACGCTGCGCCCACCATTAGGTGCAGCAGAATAGATCGCTCATTGTCTCTGTCTGGGCTCACTCACATACCCAACACGGCTTTCACACAGATGGAACCAAACGGTGTACACAGATGGAACCGAAGAGGGAGTTGTTATAAATAGAGCCATTCATACGGCGGCAGACGCAGCTACCTTTACCGTGCATTGGTGGCCGTAGCCGTCCGGATCTGGGTGCGTGTTTTACCGCGCCGAGTAACCCCACGCTCAAACCGTCACCTGCGTGCCTGCCTGCCTAAAACACTCTAGACATAGAAGAGAGTGATGTTCCCTGGACGGCTAGTAGCTGTTCTCCAGCGATCTCGCTCACTGCACGCGTCCAGCATACATTAGATTACCAGACGCACAGCGAAAAAAGAACAAGAAAAAAAGAAGACGACGCAACGACGTCCACTGTTCTGACAACCGCTGAATCTACTGTTACTCTAACTGCGATTCGGATTGTTACACTGGTCGCAGTTTGATGTTTCTCTGAGTCCATACATGGAGTACAGCCTCGTCTCCGCTCACCACTCTGAGCTGCATAACTGCTCCAGATTCTAAGAACACCCAGTGCCTGTGCTGATGCTGCTCGTGAACGTGTGACGGTAAGCGACTAGCGGTCCGCAGAAGATCTTAGCTATTCGCGATAATCCAGCAAATTCTGTCTCTCTGCCTGTCTATCTGGACGGTTGTGTTGTTTGTGCGAGTCCATTCTCGTACCTGACGTCTGGATAGAATATACTCAACTTTACAATACTTTACGTGGTCATCTCGTTCTCGTTAACTGACGTAGTCTGCAAGTAAGTGAGCATCGTGGTGACTGTCTTGAATAGAAATACCAGTCGTTTAGTCAGAGCAGAACGTGGTATAACAGTCACTTATAGCAACTTACTCACAACAGTCACAACGAAATATTTCACACACAAAAATGTAACCACATCTTGTCCCATTACTACTAACTACGATATCGAACTATTGTCGATGAGTCGTCATCGTCAGTTACCAGCCACCCACTGACCAGAACAAGCGGCGTGAAAAAAACTGAGACTTTACGAGACGCTTAGAAGAAACAGTATATTACTATAACATCACATTAGTAGAACATGAACCGGAGTAGCTGAAGAAACGGGATCACGTAACCCAACCAGTATCGCTACTACCACTCTAAGCCGTCATAGCATGCTCAAGATGCCGTCGCAGTAACGTGCGAGGCAGGTGAAAGGATCCAGTGAGTATGTGCCACTGAGACGTCGTTCGTTTCCGAGTCCTCCCTTCCCAGTCTCGCCTAAGCTTCTACTGTTGTTGTTGTTCCTATTATTGTGATTGGCGCCGCTGCAACTAAGGACATCACAGCACTAATCTTTGCTTTTGTTGTTGTTATTGTTGTTGGTTAAAACGACAAAAGAAACGTTTTTTTTTGATAACGTGACCGAGGCTGCTTTACAAAGCATTATTTAGCTGGCCGGAATGTCCAAGCGGATCGATCATCGCTGGTGTAACCCGCTGCTTTTGACGCAGAAGCAGCAAAACGTTTATTAAAGTAAGCACATGGAAGAGTTGAGGAGGCGCGTTGACAATAGAAGACTAATCATGAGCAGAAAATTCTGCATGTAAACGAATCTAACCTTTCACGTAGTAGAGTTTTATTGCCAAGGAGTTGGTGGCTGTAAGGGGGTGCTGGCTTCGGTGCCGTCAACTGTTCATCTATCTTCAAGGAGCAGGACGGCGAAAGAGAGGACGTTTATGAGTAACTAAAAACCAGTTGATTCTCACCAGCCGATAGCGGTTCGAAGTGCGTTGTTTAGCGTTCGTCCTTCACTCTTTTAGGAAGGCAGAGGAGATAGCGGTACTAAACGAAAAAAGCCGATATATAATCGATCCGCGTGTGTACCTTGTAGGTGTTCACAACGTAAAGCAAGAAAGTGTGAATCACAGAAGGAGGTTGACGCCCACTGGAGTGTGGTCACGTACGTCTTGATTTGTATACGATACGAAAAGCAAAGCAGAACAAGGTCACCATGGGATATTACTAGCGGCTAAGGTAGCATGAGCAGAAGTAATTGTAGTGCTTTCAAAGGAATAACGGATAAAGCCGTACGACACTAACTATAACATCTTACTGCATGAAGGAAATTGTTTTTTTATTAAGAACAGTACAGCCTGTAGTCTACGTGGGGTATGACATTTGTTATCTCACCACCGCTGCCAACTACTTGAATGGAAGCAGCTGAGGCGTTTAGCTATCAGCTGACGTTTCTTCTGTGAACAGTTCTGCCTGAAGAGGGCCGAACAACACCGCCCGTTCTGGCGAAGGCGCAGCAAACGATTCTCGCCCACAACAAGCCGTTTACTCCCACGGCCGGTAGACAAAGAAAGTACATGACGACGGATAACAGCGGACGATTCTCAACCTACAATGTTTACAAAACGCTAGTGGAGTGCCCATGACAATTAAGCATCACTATTAGCGTAATATAGTATTGGATTCATCATTGACGAATTTAGAAGGATTTTAAACTAGCTATTATTGGCTGTTTGTTGCTGATTTGATTGGATGAGGCAGCTGCTGCATCTTCTATGCGAGTCAGGCAATTGGTGTCCCAAAAGTGTGGAAGAGGGACTATCCTTTTGGTTTCGGCTGTTTCGATACCGCAGTTTTTCCAATGCTGGATACCTACGGACGAACTTTTCGAGAGGTTTATGTATTGTGACGTTGTCTCCCACAGCAGGGCCCAAGTGTCGTGTAATCGTTGAGACGTCCCCTTTGCACGTGCGTTGATCTCGTCTTGGATAGCCAGGAGAAATTGAACGGTGTCCTTACTGGCTCTCGTTTGCTAAACCCGCTACATTTTCCACAGCGTTAGAATGCCTCTGGGAAAGGGATTCCGTGTGCTCCATAAGCACAATGAAAACAATTCATATTCAGTGCTCATTGAACAACGAAATGTCAAAACAACACTTCTGCTTGACAGCGGTGCCATTGTCGCGTTGGGTAAGTTGTCGATAAGCCTCGATGAATTGCATGAGATATTGAAATAAATCAATACAAAACTTATTTATGGAATCATATCTTTAAACTATCCCACTGATCGGTTTCGACAATCGTCAATACTTACACTCGAGCGCAGGTATACGTATACGTCTTACGGTATTTCCTATTTGAATGAAAGTTGTAGAGAATTGAGTCTTGCGCTGCAATAAACAGCAAGCTATTCATTATATAGCTTGCTCTCTTATGCAAGTGAAAAAAGAATAGTGCTACTGAAGTTATAGGGGAAGGATAAGGGGAACGTTTCATTTGACGAAATCTATGACATCCATGAAATGTCCCTAAAAATCATGTATTAATGCAGTCAAGGATCAGCCTTCAAAATTGTATAGCTAAGATACACGTCAGCTCTGGTCCATTTTTTCCGCTTGTATTTAATACCGATTTTCCTATAAAAGGGTTGTTGAATTCGTGAAACTTGTCCAAACTGTTAGCAGTAAGTTCACAGCTGACTGATTTGACTGATTCTTGGCAGTGAATTAATTGTACGATAAAAATCACAAAAATCGACCCTCTGTTAAAAGTGTATTTAGGTGCGATTTCTTTTTTTTTCGAAGAATCGTATTTTATTTGATAACATATTTTGGAGAAAAATACCTGTCTGTCTTATGGCAGCTGAGGAAGATATCATCATTCTAGTTAGAGCGACTTTTAGAATCAGTGACTTAACGATATTTGAAGGCTGCAATTGTCAGAAGGCGAGAACTGTCAGTTATCCTCGGGTACTGCCAGAATCGATTTCTGAGAAACCTTTGCGATCAGCCTTTGTCTATTGCGGTGTATGTGTTCTACCATTATGCGACTGTTTGTGAAGGTCATGCTTGAATGGACGATCATATTTCTAGTAGGAGATGTATCCTACAGATGCAGTGTCGGATTTGTCATTACCGAACCGTGTAACCGAGCCTGTGTAATGCGGCCTATTGGTGTCAATGTAGAAGCGTATCCGTTCGTCATTGTACCATGTGTGAGGTGTCGCTTTCCTTTTACTGCCTTCAACTCTATCCGTTGTACTTCAAATTGATACCGTGGGTGGTCGGTCCGGAGCTGCCTTAGCGCTACATCGTACAGCAAGTTTGTCTCTTTGACTTTGTGTTTTACATCCGGTATCCGTATTAAGCACTCTGTCAGGTGGATGGCTGTTTATGTCCTACAGGTTCGGACCTAGACCACAACGTGTGTCTAAGACTAGCAGACAACTACGCTATCCAGTAAGCTATCATGGGGACAAATTTGTCTTACCTGTCGAACATCATATACCGATATACGTTTTAATATCTGTCTTGAGCGCTACGGGGCGTTTTTGGCAACTTTCCAATATTTGCTTGCAAGTTATTAGCTGATGCCTGGCAACTTTCTTAAAATTATCGCGTAGTAAAAATTGTGCTTCTTAAGAGTATATTTTTCCATTCTTTTTTTACTTAGAATCTTTTTACTTGGGGTGCTTTTTAAATATCAGTATCTTCAATTCATGTTGTGTCAATTCTGTGCCTCTAGCTAAAATAGCGAGTCCAATACTATGCCTTACATTCGATAATATTCCTTCCCGACTTTGTTCTCAATAAGCAAAGCTACACTTTGTGGATTCTTTCAAATTAGCACAATGTTACTACATATTTCTACCAGCTAATTTGGGCGCCTGGGACAAAAACACTATCAGTCTTTCTACTCTCATGCTCGTATGTGTCGACTAAGTAATTAGACCATTTTGTACCTTTGTGTGTCTGCCTTATTTCCCTTAGGCCTTCCTCACGTGTCCTTTCAGAAGCGTTCCGAATAATTTTAAGTTTGTTAGTATACGATGTTGTCAACGTTGTGGAGATTTTCAAACACTCAAGTAGCCTATAGATAACGTAATCGAGAGAATGGTACATAGTTACCAGAGTTCCTGGAGGGGCTTTCTGGAAGTCGACTGACCGGAATGGCCGCGTTTGAGACAAGCCTCTTACAATAGAATAAAGTATGAAATCTATCGTGCCTACATCTCTTAATTACCTACGATACCCGTAATAGAAAATATTTGAAGAACACCTTCAACCGAATATACGGAACTTTCTTTAGTGAAACATTCACAAATCCAGATTCTTTAAAAAATCAGTTTTGTGAGAATTGTGCTCGGCGCGATCGCATCGCTTCATATTTGAAACAGATGGTCTTAGCGTCAGACAGTAATAACGTGCCTCTACATGGATTTAACTATGGCCTTATAGGCGAAGCAAACGTGTGTGCATGTGCACGACGTCGGCGTTTATCATTGGGCAGGAACGGGTGGCACTCCATCGGCTAACGATCCAACGAACATATCTATAGAGTAGGAACGTGTGGAAATTTGGCCGCCATTGTCGATATGCATCCATACGTGATACCAAATAAACCAAAAAATCTTTGCAGGTTCGTTGCGAGTCGCTTTTCTATGTAATTAGAACGTTTTCCTAGCTAGCCAGCCAGCCAGCTGACCTGCCTAGACAGACGAGGCCAGACCAATAATAAGGTCAATGCCTAGATGATGTCGAAGTGATAGGGACATTCTAAACTGGGCAGGTTGTTGGGCCGGCACGCCATCCCTTCGCTGGTGCTCAAACAGGTTCAAAAAAACAGAGAAGCAAAGTGTAACGCATATAAATCTACCGGAACGCTCATAACTACGTAAACGCTTTGCAGCCCAGCGAGCTCATTGCTAGAGGAAAGGCATCTTCACAACAACCGCCGACAACAAACACCGATAAACCACCACCATGGCCTGTACGATAATATCGTTTTAATACGATGAAAAGGATTAGATGAAGTGTTATAGCGACTTTAGCCAGATTTTAGCCAGGTTGGATTATACCAATAATGTATTGGGAAATCGATATTGATTCATAAGTATAACGGTCTACCTGTAGATAAGTAAGAGGTTATTTATTGTTTCTGGTTTTAATATAGTGAACTTAAAAGACCAAAGGCTAGTTATCGAGCTCCAATGCCACACGAGTGCTATTTAGGGGGAAAGATTTAAGGTCACCGGGTGCTTTTGATGGAATGCAGTTACAAACTTAACTTATTTACACGAAACTTTGACTTGACCTTTCTCAAACATATAAATCCTTCTACAGAAACTGTCACTCTAAAAAATTCTACTCGTATATATTACCATGCGATGAAACGGTGACTATATGCATAGCTATGAGCCTATTTTATAAGGTGTATCGACAGCATATAAAACTCTAAGAAAATATGTATAGTATCAGCATATCGATACATGGAAAAAAAACAAATAGATATTTCTTGGCCATTTGGTCAATGTGACGTAATCCTGTGTCTATTTTCACACATTTTTATATGTTTTAATCAAAATATTTAATTTCCATTCGTTCGTATCACTTTGTATGTTCGTATGGAGGTTCGTTCTTTGGCAGCTTCGAGCATGTTTCTCGATTAGGCCGATTTTACAAAGTTTGGTTTTGTACAGGAGCAATGGTCGCACCATTCGTGGCAGCAAATAGCGGCGGCAATTTATCAAAACATGTTTCGGTATTCGAAGCATCATTTAAAGGTTAGCCTTTGTTGTCCTTCAAATTCACTGTAAGTATTTGTAGTAGGTGTCTACGATCAAGGCGCTTACCAATGCCATAGGTTTTCTAAGGCGTCGCATCCGTCCTAGGAACGGAAGAACGGCCTTCACTCAGCTGAAACAGTTCAGTTGAAGGAAGCCAGTCGACGCCGACATTGATCATTGTTTAAATGTGTTTAGCCACTTAAGGTAGGCTTCGTACCGTTCAGTCTGTGTATGCTTGTGCCTTGTAACAAACAAGGTCGCGCTGGACAAGTTCTGCAGATCTGATATCGTACAGCTCCTGGACGCTAACTAACTATTGCACGAGGGCAACATCGCTCTTACAAAGCCACGGCCTTCTTTTTTCCTTACTTGTTATGTTGCGGTGTTTTTAATGCGCGGAGCCCTGATTGAAGTGACTCTCTACGTATGAACAATTTTTGTTTTGCGTTGATTTTGTATTAGCGACGACAGGCAAAGCCGCTGTATAATTTCGCGATCGAAAGTAGATTACTCATAATAAAAAGTATCAGGTTTTTAACGCCTCACGATAGACCACGCAACGGCAGAAAATTTTTCTAGTGTTTCTCCATAACATGTCCAAACGACTGAAATAAGCAATATCATTCAGCCGGTAGTTACCTCTCTTCTGTATCAAATGATTTGTTGCAGTAACGTTAGTTTGATTAGAGGCAGAAGGGACCGTCTCGTTCCGCGCTTGGACCCCTGTAAAATTGTTGTATGATGGCATATTGAAGGCTGTAACGTAGTTTAAAAATAATCTGTATGCTTTTAAAGTACATTGCGCATTTTTAACACAAACGGGTTTCTAAGCCAATCTTCTAAATTATAACAGAACTCGTTTTCTTTTTTTATCACCTCGTGCAAGACCAACTGATATTACTACTGCATGCTCATTGTAAAGTATATTTAGTTGTGCAGGTTAAGAGTTTTACTAGTATTTCGTGTAGTTATTGCAGCGTTAACTTATGAAGAGAAGTAAAAGTGAGGCTAAATCGCGAACGTTGCACAATTTGCTATGGCAGCGGTGCAGAATTCGCTACGGATCAATATTTTGTCCTAGTTTCACTGTACCAGTGGTTCTGTCGGTTGAAAAACAAAGACTCCAGTCGCTATGGCCACTCGTCTTTTTCGTTTAACTGCTAGGATAATTTGAAAAATCATCTTTCTATAGTGGCTTCCAGAGCAACGTTAGATAAAAACGTTGAACATTTGTAGAGGAGATGGACAAAAAAAGGATCTATATTACACAATTAGTGCTCAATATTGTGTTGATTCGTTATTGCGTTAGATTTCAACCTATGGGTTACTACCATGGATATAGTATAGGCAAGCGATCGCAGAGAGCCGAATAAATGCTTGCAGTTTTTTTTTCCAGGTCATGGTAGATTCACGTGCTGTTCCAGAATAGTTCTCAATATGGACGGCAGAACACAACACTGCCTTATAGAAATGATAAAAACTTTTCTTCAAGCGTGCTACAATTGCGAATTTCAGAGGCTCTGATCAGAATATATATATATATATATATATATATATATATATATGTATATCGCACTTCTTAATTCTTCAATTCCTTGTGCTCGAGTAAAAACAGGTATATACAAGGTGCCCTAAACAGCCGGCAATTTTTCTTTCTAACGCGACATTCGGCTTAGGAATCTTTGCTAGAGGAAGACATGTCATAAAGTGCCTATCAATGTATTAAACTTTATATAAGCAAGTCTTTTTGAGAATGTCATTGTAATAATCCCCCACTTCAGTGCATGCTACACTAATTAAATTTTTGCCATATAACATATGACACTAAACTGATGTTAGATCTGCTTGAACTAATGCTAAAAGCATTGGCTCAAAGCAAAGGGTGTGGTAACCGCTAAGAAACGTGAGTCGGATAAAAGCATAAAGATTTTACGTTTCTTCCTACGTATTTATACCTCTGTGTTACCAGAAGGCGAACACCTGGTATTTCGTTCTGAACTTGCTTTTAGGCTCGGAGGAGACGGCGTACCTAAAGAAGGATTACAGCGCCCTAATGGATGCCTATGGCTGTCTCGGCGTCCTCGACACAAACCAGGGCGATGTCGAAGTGAAGTATCTCGTCATGATAACAGGCTGCCACTCCGTTGGGAAGATCAACCATTCGGAGATTTTTCGGTTGACGGATGTGGTATTTATTTCTCTCCGAGACTTCCGAGAAGACGTAGAACGAATGGCGGAAGTGAAAAAGGTAAGTACGTGCATTCGGTGCAGGTAGTTGCCCCAGCGATTCTATCAAAATAATAATATATACACATGATAATTTATGTTCAGGGATTGAGGGCGTCGAAGGGTTTTGGCTTTGGTTAAGTAGATTAATTTTTTTCCGTTCGGCGACCTTCAGAAGCCTAGCAAACCTCATACGTTAGGGTTGAATACATCCTCATTCATTGTATTTTGAACAAGTCAAAGTGGAATCTACATAGTTTCGCTAACTGGCACCTTGCGAAGACGCCCTGTCTGATCCTCGGCTGTCACGATCTTTATGGATGGTTAGCTTCATTAATAAAGGAGGATTCTGATTTTCAAGGGAGCTGGCTTGATATTTTACATACGTTATGGGATAATTTTATTCGTATTGCATTGCTTGTTTATAGGTGTTAATATCTGGAACGTTCTTTTTCGCCTGGAGCAGCCAGTCTGGCCACTCCCCACTTGATCTCACTCTTTGCGCGCAGCGAGCGCAAAGAACAAACGTAACCGATAACAGGTATAGATTTACGCTACTACCGGCTTCTTCCACACCAAAGGCCAAAAGCTAAAATAAATTATCTCAAAGCTTACAGAATAGGCTATCCGCTAGGAATAGACCGAACTTAGTACGTGCATTCTACTCGGGAATAAGAAAAAGCGTGCAGTCGTTATTTTAGCTCTTTGAAGATAACCTACATCTATCAACGCAGATGAAGATTGTCTACGAGTAAAATCTTCATTCGTGGATGTGGGATAACATCACAGACTATACAGTCAAATAACGTGTGTCGTCTCTCGTATCATCTAATGTACGGCGAGTGCGTTGCTATAGTTCTCGGAGCGACCGGCACTCTTTGTTGCCGTTAATAAATTTTAATTTTTTATTATAATTTTAAAAATTGTTCCAGTTAAAAAATAGTATTTTTATACGATAGCGCAGCTGCTTATAATGATACAAAAAATTCATTGTTGACATTTCTACTACGTTAAGAAGTATCGTGGCCCGGATGCACCGTTATTTAATCGAATAACTGTGCAAACACAAAACAGATCCAAACAAATAAAAGATTTTCTTATTCCCGCTTATCGAAAAAATTAAAACTTTTAGGAAATTCATGGAACAACTTAAAGAATAAAGTGGCGTCCTTCGTTCCAATTAGTGAACAGTCGTACAGGAAAAGGTGCCGCTTTAAAAGCTACCGAGACGCGGCAATATTTTTGACGACTGGCAAATTCCATGCGCATGCATAGAGTATCTGTAAGCTGCATAGCTTAATGGACTATATAGAGTCTAAAGTACGCCAAAAACGGGTTTCATAAGAGAGTATATGAAACATTGTTTGTTAAAGCTAAAGTAACCATTTGTAGGGATGCCCTACGAGGAGTTTATGTTTAAGCGTTAGCTTTGCCCGATCCTCGATAAGAGACACCAGTTATTTTTCTGTCTTACGTCGTCAAGTCGCGTCTAAACGTACTCGACTAGTGCATGCCAATTTGCTAGGGCAACTATTTTCCCATGCGTTCTAGACGATAATACGACGCTCAACGCGCAGGCAACGAGCTCACGCGGGAAATTTACTTTTGCTTCATTTATTCAGATTCTTTTGGAACCGTATGTTGCATATTCCGTTTATGAACTTTGGTATCGATACGTCGGCATGGCTGTTCAAAATCATGAATGGCGGCATCGAGATTCGTACCGTGTACGTTGGACATTTGCAAGTTAGTACATACGTTTGTATGCTACTTGTTTATTATAGTTTCCTATATTTTATCATCTTCTATTTTCGAGAACGATTTATTGTAATTGAACGTTCTCATTACGAAAAAAATCCAGAGGCATTCTTACAAAGTTATCATTTCGAAATAAATAAGACATTGAAGGGACATTTCTTTTTTTTTTTAACATATTAAGTTTTTTAGCCTATCGTCTTTGTTTCAGGCTCGTGCGTGCATTATTTCGCGACTGTCGTGTGAACGTGCGGGGACCCGTTTTAATGTGCGGGGCGCCAACGACGACGGTCACGTTGCCAATTTCGTGGAAACAGAGCAAATGATCTTTCTCAATTCGAAAATATCGTCCTACGTTCAAATACGGGGCAGCGTTCCGTTGTTTTGGGAACAGCCCGGTGTACAGGTGCAAACGCAGCTATTCAAACATGACTGTAGATTGATTGAATTCAAAATGGATTGTTACCACTGTCCCTGTTATTGAATTGTCAATGTATGGTTCCAGGCATAGTGACATCTATCAGGATAAAGCGTTTAGGAGCGACTAAATCTTAAAAATAACCTGTTTGCCGATTGACGTGTGTGCGTGAATGAAGGAAGTTTCTTTGTTCAATATATTCATATACGTCGGGAGGGTGTTCAGATGTATATTGTACGGACAGTTTTTATATATAAATAAAGACATCGTTCGAATACTGGCAGGTTGGCTCTCACAAGGTGAAATTGTCTCGAGGGTCAGAGATGTCGGCGCCCGCGTATCGACGACATCTTGAAACCATAGTGGAACGATATGGTCATCAAACGTTCCTAAATCTGCTTGGCTCCAAGGAGGGCGAGACAATGCTTTCAAACGAATTCAACAAGCATCACCGAGCCATCGGCAAAAAAGTACTTTGGCAACTTTACAGTACAGCACATCATTCTACTAGAAACAATTAGTTAATCAGATTTTTCTATCTATTCTCTAGCGGAATTTTCCTCGGCATCCGCAGTAGCAATCTCTATGCTGCACGTTTATGGTTAAGAATCTAACGTTTGGCATGACGCGACTCCAGGACATTCCATTGCTTAACTTCGACTATCACGCACAGTGTAAAGGTGGCAAGCAGGACAACCTCATCCACCTGAAGTACAATATTGAAAAACAACTTAACGACTATTCGTTCTTCTATCACGACGGCCAAGAGACTACCAAGTAAGTCGAAAGCATCGCTCCTATTTACAGGCAGTGCCTATTTGTTTACCTCGTTCGTTAGGGATATCCTCAATAGTCGACCGCGAACTTTCAGAGAACAAACCGGATGCTTCCGGACAAACTGCCTTGACTGCCTCGATCGAACGAATTGCGTTCAGACCTTCATTGGGCTCACCGTCCTGCAGCAACAACTTGCGGCAATGGGCTTCGACGACAATATGGCATTTAGATTCTACGATGCCTTCAAGTCAATGTGGACGCTTAATGGCGATATGGTACGTCGAAACTACAGCGAATAACATTAGAATACGTATAAACATTAGACACGTGGCGTAGAACACTGCCGTTATTCTTGGTGGGTTAATTTGATCACTCTGCCGTTAAAATGTTCATAGGTGAGCCGAATCTATGCCGGTACGGGGGCATTGCAAGGCACAAATAAGTTGAAAGATGGCACGCGCTCTGTTGTTCGAACAGTACAGAACAACTTACTCGACTCAAGTAAACAAGTAATGCCAACGGTTCCTTTTTCTTTGCTTGCTTGTTTGTTTAAAAACATGCTTTATTACTGTTTACGATCAGTTCTTAAATCTACTAAAGCTGTTGAATACTGCGTATATTATCTTGCGGGCTAGGCCGAACTAGCTGAATGATATCATCAAAATAACACCCGATGCAGATAGCTGTAATAGTATTCCTACAGTATTAGTCTACATATATAATGCTAACACTACGCAGGAAGCAATCGACATCCTTCTGGTGGGAAGTTCCTTAAACTGCGAACTCGGTGATCGAGCCCGTTCACTATTGCCACCCGAGCTTTTGCACACGCCGCCTTCAATGCTGCGGCAGGTTTGCTTCGATCGCTATCTCGACTTCACCATTCCCGTAAAGATCTCATTAAGCGTGGCTACGTGGAACGTGAACGGCGGGAAACACTTTAATTCGATCGTTTTTCGGGATCAGCCGATGTCCGATTGGCTTCTGGACAATAACCCGAACGGTAAGCACGAATAACTTCGATATAGAGCACTCAACTGGTATATATATATGTCTTTTTCTTAGTCTGAGGTAGTGTACCGTTCAGCGTCAAGCCAGTGAGTTCACGCAGTGCGAGCGTTCGAGATGTTCTTCTTAGATTCTCCAAAAAAATCGTAAAGAAAAATTTTTACAACGTTTATAAATTTATTGGCGAAAAAACTTCGTTAGCGCTGAAACTTGTTTGTCACCAACAATTACATTTAAATGAATTCAAATTTGCTAGCAAGATCTGACACTGGCAAAGCCCCAGATCAAATCTGAAACTGTTTTTACAATCAAATTGTACCTACACAAGCAATAATATTCGTTAAGGATTTGTCTTTCTGAAGAAACGAAGCATAGTAGAACTCTTATATCCATATTTAAACATTTTTTTATTAATTAAATTTCTCTTAATTAATTACTTGTTGTCTAACAGTTACCTGCAAAAAACAAACACACATGATGAAGCACACTAAGGTAGACTAGCCATACACATTATAGAATGAATATTTCTTGCAATCAGCTAATGTAGAGAATAAGAATACGTCTGTTGATAATCTATGCCAGCGTTCAGTGATCTCTGACGGACGGCCTTCAACGACGACGTGCTAAAAACTGCAGGCTGAATTTTGTGATAGGAAATCTTCGATTTTAATAAAATTAGCGGGATAAATGCATCGGTAGATTTTAAAAAAACATAAGATGATTCATGGGAAGAGGCAAACAGCTTTTGCGAAAGGCGTACCACGCACTAAAGAGATGACTGTAAAACAAACGACTAATAAAAACAGTAATTACTGTGCAGTACGTAATTATCCGGAATACGTTATGAAAAGGCACGGAATACTCGCCTGAACTGGGCGGAGTTATCGTTACGTACGTAGTTGTATTGCCTGTCGTTGTTTTGTTCTGAATCCTCCTCTTTCACTTTCTCGCCTCTCGCTACTGCCACCCGTCCCGTTGCCCCAACCTCTGCTACCCCCTCCGAGATGACTTCCAGTTCGAAATAATGACGCTCCATCCGAAGGTAACGCAGGCACGGACGCAGCACAATCGACTCATTGAGTGGTTCTTATCCGTCCATTTATCAGTTGATCACTGATTGAATAAAGCGTGTGCTTCCCTTTGTCAAGTTTTTTTTGAGTTTGCATGCACCAGTGAGCTACAGCATTCATGTCATACAAGTTGGCTATATTTTAAATAATATAATTTACTAAGCTTTGGAATAGTCACTTACCTCGGAATGTCGACGCATAACTGGAAAAATGACATGTGTTCAAGCGCCAAATGGTTTCTATCTAATAACTGATATGCCCAGATAATCCACTGCATGTGAGTGGCGTAGACAGCCGAATTTTTGAAGGATCACTTCAGATATCCTTGTTCTTATTAAGTGTTTGCAACATGGTCCACGAATAAATATGAATACTTTTATCGATACTTTTGCGTTCCCTCATGAAATAGTATAGGCTTAGTTTACTTATTCAATATGTTCTCCAATATATGTCCTTTTCAAGGAGTCCTATACATGTAAAGAGTGGATGCATGACCTATCGACTGTATAATATCAAGTCATGATAATAAATTTCATTTTTAACAGTAATAGTGGCCTCTTTAGCGTTGCGCGGCTCCCTAACAGCCTGTTCTATGAGCCTTTTTTGACCTGCACATAGTACACTTCATGCGGTACGGTACATCCATTTCGCGATCTCTCTATTAAACTGATCGCAAGATATTATGTTAACATGCATAGGCTGAAATTCAACGCGTGCGTCTTTGACGCGGTCCCACATAATGTCAATAGGGAAACTTGTGCTGCTTTGTGCGTGAGATACTCGTGTTTAGTTTATGTGTACTTCGTATATAAGGGACTTAGGTTCACTGGCCAAACATGGCTAGGAGGTTGTCGCTAAAAATTGTGCTTATTGCAATTAACCGCCTCCTTTTACCTTAATTTCGGCGGTATCAATCTCTACATCAAGTAGCCACCACAGATGGAGTTCGGCGTGAGCGCTTGGCATTTTGATCTTATTCGATGTCAATAGAGGTTTTATTTGTGGATTATTCTAGCATAGAAGAGACCAAGTGACAATAAACATGTAATGGAAAATAACCACGATGCTTCCATGTTGTGATTTTTACGTATGTTATCTTGTTATAACGTGTACATTGGTAGGGCAAAGTGAAGCTGATGGTGGTAGAGCACCGCCGGATATATTTGCCATCGGTTTTGAAGAAATTGTGGATTTGAACGCATCGAATATTGTCAACGCATCAACGGGCAACCAGATGGAATGGATGCATGAACTTCAGAAATCAGTCTCGAGGGATACAAAATACGTCTGTCTTAGGTATATAAATATATAAAGCGTCTATAATTAATTTTCTAGATACGATTACAGGAACAAATGGTTCCTTCTTGTTAATACCAATGCGCTTCTTATCTTAGACTTTTGTGCTGTATATTCTCTTGATATCGCCATTTTCTCATTATGATGCGATCTCTTACCGAAATGTTTCCATTTTGACGCCTGAAGTTCTGCCCAACTAGTTGGCGTATGTCTGTTCGTATTTGCCCGCCCGGAACACGCAGCATTCATCCGTGACGTGGCCGTCGATCAGGTCAAAACTGGCCTTGGTGGGGCGGCAGGAAATAAAGGCGCTGTTGCTATTCGAATGCTTTTCCACGCCACGTCACTTTGTTTCATCTGTGCGCACTTTGCAGCCGGACAATCGAAGGTAATAATAATGATAATTGGAAAAGAAAAAAGACACCACTCCTGTATCCCTTTGCCTTCTAACAGTAAGTAGAACAATGACAGCGCATAATTTACAGGTGCTAGATCGCAACGCGGACTACACGGAAATCACTCGGAAGCTTTGCTTCCCTATGGGCAGGACTGTGTCCTCGCACGATTACGTGTTCTGGTGTGGAGATTTCAACTATCGGATCGATATGGAAATTGACCGGGTCAAAGAACTGGTTCTCCAGAGAAATTATGAAGAGCTCCTACAAAACGATCAACTGATGAAGGCTCGTGAGCAGGTACTAATGGGTTTCCTGCTAGTCTTTGAAACTTTTTATACACACGTTAGTTTAGTCCGCGAGGAATATATGCTTGGTCGTTCATAGACCAAATGAATCGCGTTCCCGGAACTCTATTAGTTTGCAGTATCGATAGATATGTTTACAATACACAGGTTCATCGTGATAACAGCTTGAACGTTGAAGTGTATTGTTCGAAATGCCGAAGATTTATAGTTCGTATACTGATTACTGCCCGGGCTGCATATCTCACATAACACAATAAACGTTTTCCTCATACATGATTAAATCATATTGAATAGTCTCTGCCACTTCTCCTGAGGCTTTGCTCTATAATACGTGTGATTTACAGGGCCAGGCGTTTGCGGACTTCATTGAAGGCGAAATCCGGTTCCCCCCAACATATAAATATGATCTATTTTCAAATGATTATGACACCAGTGAAAAGAGCAGAGTCCCGGCGTACACCGATCGGGTTCTGTTTCGGAGAAAAAAATACCCCAATGATGAAGGTCAGTTACTTTCTAAAAATAGTAATGGCTAGATCGAAAGCGAGCCAAAGGCTCTGTTAGATGAGTTATGTTCAAGTAAGGAACTAAAACCTATACATCTACTGATCATTCAGTGAAATCTCGTACTAGGCAGAACTAATGGTGCCCTACCTACCGGTGTCCAGCCAACACAGTACAAAAACTTTTTGGCTGCAATTCAGTAAAAGCCCATTGTAGACGCTGAAATTTCGAATTCCGGTTGGTCTTTGTTACTTCAGGTCCACTATAGGTGTCGTTGGTTTTTCTTTACGTCGCGTTTTATGATAATACACTTTTGACTACTTACCTGGTCCTTGCAGCATACCCGTTCTGGAGTCCGGGACATATTCGCCATTATGGAAGAGCGGAATTGCGAACTTCGGATCATCGACCTGTTATTGCAGAGATTGACATCGAGGTAGCCAACTATCTAGTGGTACATTTAAAACTGAAGCTTGTGTAAATTTGATCTGATCATTTGTTTCCCCATTGATTTTAGGGCCTGCCATTAACTTACAATATTTGGATTGTATAGTACGATTGTTCAATTGAGAGCTTTTTCGATTTTGCTTCCATCTGAGGCTAAAGCGTAAGTATGTGGTTCATGCTGAACGATGTCTAAGGGCTGACTCTAGTAATGGGTTCATTTTGACACTAGCACTATGTGCAGGAGTTATCATGAGGGAAATAAAACAAGCAGGTAACGTGTCAACCAGGTTCTTCGGGTGGATTCAGCACTGCGTGACAAAACGGTTCGTGAAGTGTCGAAGTTAGCAGGACCGCCCGATGCAACGATTTTGGTACGAAAGATACGATCCGAACTAGCGAAGCAGGAAACTGGTGGCAGCGGCGGCGGCGGCGGCGGCAGCGACGATGACGACGAAGATAGTCAGCGAATCCACAAAGCAGTCGACACGTTCAGTGAAACATTTATCGAAAAGATGTGCGATCTATTTTCCGAAGTTGGCGAGGTTATCCTCATAAGGTAAAGTTAGCTAATTAGTCGTAGGCTGGCGCAACAGCTAAGCAGACTTACGCCTAACACATCAACGACCTTCTATTGGGGTGGGTGCAAAATTTCACTTGAAAATGTACAGTATATTTGTGTAAAAATAAAAACAGTTTAGGTAACATCTGAGCATAAACGAAACTTGGCTGACATTTTGAAGATTCCTGACCCGCGAAATATGATCACATTAGATTAAGTCGTCCCAAAGTAGACCCTTTATAGAATTATATAGAAGCCCATTTAGTGTATATGGATACTGTTTGATTTTTGATAAACGCAGGTTTGTTGGAGAAACCCTTAGGATAACATTCGCTGATGGACCGAGCGCTCTTGAAGCAGTGAAATTAAGCGGACGCGAGATCGATGGTGAACCAATAGAAATCACCTTAAAGACGGTTGAGTGGCACAAAATTATTGAGGCCACTCAGGCTCTCTGTAAAAGCAATACTATCCCACTAAACAAGGTACGAAAAGAAAAAACATGTACATCTGCTTGTAGTTGAAACCTCAGTTTTGCCGAGTTGCAACTATCGTCTTCATACGGATTGAGACTACACACTTTCACTAATAACCAGATTCTTTATTTTGTTTACCATGCGTTCTCTCAAACTGAATTCAATACATGTTAATACAATTTAAAATTTTTTTATTCCTCGACCCTAAACTGCAAACAAATCCATATTGGGTCGTTTTCATTGATACAAAAAGGTGCCGATCTCGACGCATTTTGATGAACCTCCAGCTTCCAACGCCCTCATAGGCATCGAAGAGGGTGAGAAATATAAAATACCTGTCCCACCTCGTCCTACGAGGCCACCCGGACCTGGGCAAGCGCCTGAGGGCGCGATTGTGGCAGGATCCGCCGCAAAATCCGAGGCTTCAACAGATGGAAAACCGGAGGGTACCCTTCCGCCCGTACGACCGCCGCGACCTAATCGCTCTGTTACAGGGCCTCCTGAGAGACCTGAACGCCCAGCGGCGCCACCAGAGCGCCCTGTGGCTCCCCTTGAACGGTCTACACAACCACCCACGCGGCCTGCACCACCAAATAGACCTGCACCGCCGTCTAGACCAGAAAGATCAAGTCGTCCGGAAAGGCCTGATAGGCCGGACCGACCGGATAGGTCACCATCAACTAGCGCTCCTCCGAAAATACCCGAAAGACCATTGAGAGAAACACCTCCGTCGAAAATACAACCGTCAGACCTTCCAACGCCGACGCCTCCCACGCCCTGTGGTAAATGTTGTAGGTTTTTTTATTTCTCAATTATTAATCTTAATAAGTCCCGTTTGTTTCATATGATAAATTAAAAAAAATTGCCTATGGTATACTGTGATCAATCTGAACTGAAAACTAGCACATCAGATATATTGGTTCTATTCCATAATGTTTTGTTACCACAACCATGATAATTTTTAATGAAGTCATCATACTTCTTGCGCTTTCGCTGCAGCTCTCGAAATTGATCATGAACAAATAAAGGCCACAGTAATTGACTCGTCAGGTCATGGTGGTTCCGGAGGAGAGGCTACATTCGGCTCAATATTTTCGGGCATTCCTTACGGAGAGGAAAATTCACCATCAACGCCAAACGACGAACAAATCGCATTAGATCGATCTCTACCGCCATCAATGCCTCCACAAGCGCCTGCACCGCAGTGTCCTATAATGACGGCTAACGGTGCACCACCACCAGTTCCTGGGCGTGTAACGTGTCCACCTTTCAGAACTGCGCCTACACCACCCCCTATCCCGGCTCGCCCAAGGCCTTAGAAACCTCGTCCGCGTATACGTGGGGTATTGAAAGTGAACGAATGCCATAATTATAAGCCTCTAAATCATATAGGCAGGACAAAGCTACAGTTTTTGGTGAAAGATTATCAATTCGTTTGAATTCTAGACAAAGCTGAAAGAAATCATCAATAAACGATCGTAGAAATGGGTATATATATATACCCATATATATATATATATATGTAGTAACAGCAATATCGTTAAAAATGACGCTACCATCGACGGCACCTTCTGCAACCATGCCACTTATCGTTGGTAGTAATTATTGTTTTTCAATTTTCAGTAAAGATCACCAATTTAATTTTTGTTCCAATTTTGTCGTCGGCAAAACAGACCAGTAGGCCATCTGAGTGAATCTAGCCATAGGCTATTCTAAGGCTCGGTGGAGAACTCTTATGTTGACTTTAGCAGGCAGCATAAGTCTTAGTTGCGCAACGCACAGTTTTTACTAACTAATTAAATTGTTAACGCCAATGAATGTAGCGTTACGTGCACATAAGTGTTTGCCTTGATTCGCCAGGCCAGACAAAGACCAGAAAACTATTTGTAGTGGAGAAATCCTGTACAGAAATCGTATTGGCTTTCCTGCCCGTTAACAATATGATTGTACTGCTCGAATGCTCAAGCCCATCACTTACTTGATAAAGTTTCCCTTACCTTTAACTAACTGTATTAGCCGGCGCCAACAGTTGAAATATATCAACTAACTTAACGAAGCTGCTATTAAGGTCTACTGTTGGCCCGTCACGTGGCACAGAATAACAACTAGAGGCCGTTTTAGGCTACCATCACTAATGGCATCGTAGTATGATTATCAGAGCACAAATGATGATGGTTATTATTATTATTATTATTATATATAGAAAAATAATGAGTAATCACACGAAGCGGTGTGACAAATTATCTAGCTATTGTCAGTAGTGGAACATAACCGAAACGACGAAGAACGTCAAGGCAATAGTCGTTCAAAGTAATACCAATACGAAGAACGGCATGCCCGTATACGAAAACGAAGATTACCTTAACTGAAATCGTGCGAAAGTACGTAATAACAAACCTCTACAAATAAGACGAGTGTAATCTTTTTCTGTTTATACCACCAAGTTCATGTAGTGTACAGGTATATATATATATATCAGTTAACATTTTGATTGATTTAGCTTTCGGGCAGACATAAATAGAATTAGAAATTGATCACTGCGTCTGCCGGTTCCGCCGTTTTGGATTACACCTAATGACATTTACGCGATACATGACGTTATAAACTAGTCCGCATTCGACGGTGTTAAGATGGTGCCGCTAAAGTAATGTATAAGATATATATTTCATGTAGTTATAGGGGGGTAGAAGTAATAAACGTATCTGAAAAGGGAAGAAACAACATCCTGACAACGTGCTAAAACCACGATGTGTCTTACGTCAGTTCAGCTGATCTTAACACAAAAACACGATTATAGCTATGACGTCCAATTGATACAATTACAAGTACATATATATGTGGTAATGGCCAGTACGACTCGTACAGTTATACTATGGAACTAGGGCTACCTGACGTCACTTAAAGAAGAAGCTCTCTGTTATTAGCGCTGGTTTTTATTACTACTAGTTGTCTAGTGTACTAAAATGACTCTCTCAGGAATAGAGTACCCTTCTTAAGTAAGAAAAAAAAAGCGATTCCATACACCAACGTAAAGTATGTACGTGCTGAAAGCAAACAGACAGGTTCGTTCGTAACTTGCCATATCTGCGTGAAAGGTAAAGCTGATAAAATCGCTATATATATATATATATATACTACAACATTTGGAGCCGCTTACTAAACCGCATTAAACACTAGTAGGAAAAGTTTAGATACAATTATATTAAACTGTAGAAGGCAACATATAAGTTCTCTTTAGCAAAGTAGAAAGTGATGATTATTAAGTCAGCAGACAAGATTAACTGTTGTGCACCTAGCAAACGTAGTGAACAGTGAATAGATACCGAGAGATGAAGCCCCTTGATTTCATTAGTTGGCCCTACATATCAGTCAAGATAAATTTCACTGAAAAATGCCCTCGTGGTCATACAAACCGGAGAGAAAAGCTGCCCTCGTTTTTCTCAACGAGCCGAATGTTCAGTACGATATATTTATTCCTACACAGCCTATCCACTTGCAATATTCCATATTGTTATCATTATTGTGTAAGAACGAAATTATTTTGTTTTTAGCGACTGCCTAATTAGCCGACGCTGTCAATGTTGTTATTGTTGTTGTTGTTCTTGTTGCTGTTATTATTGTTGTCATTGTTGTCGAATTTTAATAGTTCTCTCTATTATTTATTGTCATTCTGATAAAACTGGTTCTTAAAGGCGAAGTGATTATTTAGCAGAAAAGTCGTGCAAAACAAAAGCCAAATAGGAGATCCAAACTTAATTTTAGTGCGAAATATCTACCTCAGAAGGACAATGATGTAGTATGTTAGGTCAATGAAATCATTTGGATTTCAAAGCAGTGTTTTTTTAAATTTTAATTAATATTTTTGCTTTATCAATTATGTTTATTACGTTATTTTAAAGTTGTCGTTGTTATTCGTGGACCAGTACTAATTAGCTTGACCATAGAGATTCCATAGGCAAATGCATCAGCATATTGGCAGATCATATACGATTCTCAGACGTCTTATACATGCGCTGATTACTCTCATTACTATTCGTATAATTGTTGTTAAAAGACTTTTCGTTGTGATATATTCGTATATATTTATCTAAAAAGCTGTATGTATATATATATATATATATATATATATATATATATATATATATATATATATGACCAATGAATAGATACCTATACATAAATCTACATGCAAGAATATATTCAAGGACGTGGAACTGAGCTACGACAGCAACAACCATTTCATTAGTGATAGCAAAATGAAGGTATCCAAGGTCTCTTTCCCGCAAGATCTTCAAGAGACCCTGTGGAAAAGTCAAGTAGGCACACCTAAATGAGCACCCATAAACAGACATAGACAGGACTATATTGACACGGTATCAATATACGACGCTGTAAGGGAACTCCAAAAAAAGACGGAGTTAACCCATTGGCGAAGATTCAAAGAAATAAATATAGTGCGAAGCTAACGCGCTTGTAATAGTGAAACAGTCCTGTCTTATTTTCCACTTTCGTTTCCTATGGTACTACAATATTCTATCTAAACTACGAAATAGTATATAAATATTGTGCTGGCTAAATTCAAGTTCGTCTCATGTATTTGGATATGAATATAGACTATTGAAAGCATACATGTTGAATTGTACATAGACAAAAGATCTGTAGAGCACGGTTCATGTTTGAAAACATTGGGCAGATCGCTAAGTGTTAGGACAGCTATGGAGCCGATTAGTACTTACGTGGGGTCTTGCTTTAAGAATAGATTTAAATAGAGCTCCGTAAGCTCCTTAAAATTTGTCATAAAGAAGAAGCGCACCGCATTTTCCGTCTTGTTCTTACTTTCTGACCTTTGTAATACCCGTTAGAGTGCAAATATACATTTACAAACATAAACAAGTATTCTATGAATTGTTGACTCTACTTTAAGGTAGTTCTCCGAGTAGTTGCACTTTTGTCAGCACTGTGACCCGGGTTGCATATAAGCTCAATGGTAAGGGGTAAGTGGGCATTTACTATATACGTGCATTTGCTGCTTTAGTAAGAAGCTGTTGAAACTGTTGGAAGGAAATTTAGCGCGAGTTTGCCAACTAGTGGATTTAATTGAAGATATGCGTACGTAGGTGAGCGATTTCTTCGAATTACTTTTTCAAAAATCCGCTATGTTTTACCAAATTAAACCGCATAGGTGTTTTATGAAGATCGTTAAAATATTATTAGGTGTGTGTCCCCATTCTACGACACAAGTAAACATGAAATATGACCAGTACGTTGATGAACGCGTTACATTATAAGTTATCACTTAAGTTTCAGCTTTCAGTATTGAAAAAAAGGGGCTATATACCAAACAGAATCAAGCCGATTGAATATATGTTTAGTAAGCAGGTTAGAAACTTTAAGCATGAAATAAACTTGTGGTATATTTTGAAATGTCATTGATTCGAGTACTTGAATATAATATTCGAAAACCGTTTAATTGAAGTTTGCTTCTTAATATTTTATCCAGACTAACGCCATTACGTACTATATAGTGGCTAAAATTCTTCCAATTATACCTTTATGGCCCATAAAATATAGAACTTCTTGTAAGGGTTGAAAAGATGAAAAAGATACTATGTTGTCTGAATAAAGTATATAACAGAATATTTGCAAAGAAAACGTTGCAAATGTATTGAATCCCAGAGGCAACTTGCGGCTGAGCCGAGCAACCACCCTTTCATCAAAAAGGTACCTACAGCCTTAGTCTTATGACGGTTGAGTTACTCTTGGTCGTTGCTGGAAAATAAGCGCTTCCTCCAAACGTTTACCAGATAAACTTAATTGAAAAAAGGGTACCATTGCAGTATTGTGGGCATGAGCATGGTGATCTTGTTTCATTAATATTTTAAAATATTTAATTATTTTCATATTATACGATAATATCTTATATACTAGTTCTAATTAAAGGTGCATGAAACAGGTCGTTGAAGTAGAAAACGTCTAACTTTGAGAAAATAATCTCGATAAATCAAGCATTGTTCTTTATAAAATAATAAGGTACAAATAATTAATTTCTTTACTAGTAAATATATTTTCGGAAAAAGTGACTTAAAATATATTTGGGTAATTTAGTAAAAAATCCTGCCTTGTGAAAATGAAATAAAAAATGAAGTAATGCGCCAGTAGTTTACACATACAATTTTTAGACTCTTATAATTCGATGGAATTTAAAAAATGGCATTTCTTTAAAATGACATTTTAAAAATAACGTTACATTTTTTAATAAAGTGTGACTCGATAAGAAAGAGACAAATGGAGGTTTGCGTTATTTGTCATATCATTAACGTGTTCGTTGCAATAAAAACCCGTCAACATGCTATAACAACGATACATTTGGAGAACATTAAAATACACCTTACATAACTGATTCTGGTCAGACCTTCCTGAAAAGCGTCATCATGAAAACATATTTAAAACTTTACTTACAAACAGGACACGTTTATTACACATGTAATAGATAGTTTTATTTTATCCATCTCTATTAAAAAAATACATCTAATGTTTCACTTCTGAGTACGTCCATCCAAGTTAGCAAAAAATAGGGCAGAAACTATGATTCGGAACGAAGTCATTACTCAATAATTTCTTGCTTATCTTTACAATTATTACAAAACGTAAGCTTAGCAAAGCTATTTTTAAACCCACTGAAGTACGCCTTCTAGATGCCGCTTTGTTCAATCACATTGTTTGTGATTCCAGAACCTGTTTGGACTAATCGATGACTATAACTATAGAAAACGCATATTCATCCTGCCAAATTTAAACAATGTAAGGCAAAAAAGCAAGTAATATATAAATATATATATATATGTTCGACAAAAAAAAAGATGATTCTTTGTGCCGCCTGCGCAATAACTAAAAATATCAACAAGCTTCCATGGCGGTGGCGAGGGTAATCCTTTCTGGAGAGAGCGTAGTAGAACACGCACACGCCGAACAAACATGCTTTATTTAGCTTTTGTTTTCGAAGGCATTATTGTACACAGAGGATAATAAATCAGTTCCTTAAAGCAATAAAGGACCCGTCGCGGAACTGCGGCTCGTGTTTCTCGCATAGCCCTCTCTTTTTTATGTGTTCACCGATGCTCCGTTCTGAGTGTTTACCTCACATACGTTCCATTCGAGTAAATCGAACACGTTGTTGGATACAACAGAAACATCTTGAGAGGTCGATCTAGTATAGTATAAGTTTGCTAGCAATTGGGCGAGTTAGAACGCCGAAGTTTTCCATTCGCGCATTCTAGTTCATACAAAGGAACGTCCTGAGGAAAATGATTACAACATTAGGCAGATTGTTGCAGGGTGCGCGGCGACCAAACGTCGTAGGTCGTTTAGCACGCACGAGTACTTCATATTCAGTAGCGCCGTCGTCAGTTTTGGGGTGTACATCTAGCAATCAAATGAATTACAAATCACTGAAGGTTTGTAATGTATTCGTGCATATTGACTGTGCTGATTATCTGAGGTTTGTTATGTGAGGCCAAACCAATTTTACTTGACAAATAAATATTAGAATAGATTAAAGTCCATATGAGGTCGTTCAGTGTAATGCTTCGAAAAATAACGTTTGAGGTTTATTTATTTTGATACCTATAAAAATATTTTTTTAGCCAATATTTGCATCCATATTTCGATGCCGGCTCTTTCTTTCGATACTGCGTTACGTAAAAGCCCGGGACTCGGCTTACTGAACGAGGTAGCCCCCTATGTTCCCTTAATTCATCTACATTTTCCATACCATTCGTCTACATATCAAAAACTGAATATAAAAATGGTGCTCGAATTAGAGTAATAAAGAAGCGAGTTTTTTTTTTGTTTTTGACACTGGTAAACACAAGGCTTTTTTGACAGTCAAGTTTTTAATTTTCGCTCCGATATTTTCAATATGTACTCTTTTTTTCATGTTTTTTTAGTTTTAAAGCTAGGGTATAGATGATTCAGAATAAGTGCTGCTAATAGGGATCAGTGCCCCACGGACTCTCAGCTGCTGCTTTTTTCTTTTTCATCAATATATCTATCTGTAAGAAGTTCACTAGATAACTTGTGAGACTCGTCTCTGTACATTTCAGCGGCCTTCTCAGTTGATTTTGTGAAGTTCTACGGCAGGGCAGTGTTTTCAGTCATGTGTGCTGTTATAATTAGTAGTGAGGACGATAAGTAAAGCCTACATAGGGTGAATTGTGATCAGTTCAGGATGATCGAGGTTGACCCCCATCCAACAAGGCTTTCTGGAATCATAACCGCAAGAAATGCATAAAATAAAAAACGAGATGTTTAATAGCCCAATTGTACTGCCATATGGCTACGTGGTCATTTGAATATATTTTCAAGGAAATTTAGGAAGACGGCATGAGTCAGGTCCGTGCAAAATCCCTATACACTGCACGAGCCGCTAATGGGGTTAGAACGAAACATGTTGGAATACGATAGTTTTCACTGTTGATTTTTTTCAATAAGTACTTAGATTGCCCTCCAATACAAACCTCTGTATTCACTGGCTCTGATTTGATACTTTTACTTTTCGAAGCCTGTGTAACATATAATACTCGGCGTAAAGTTTACGAAAGACAGGATAATATACAGTCATATTGGTTTAAATAACTATATTACGTTGTGTTACCATATACCAGAGTCACAAGTTAATAGACATATATGCAGATATGGCTTAAATAGAAGTACTGGTAAAACATACTGTTGTAGAACTACTGCTGACGTGATATGGACTCAAATACATTGATATATATAGACGTACGAAGTGGCCAGCTGGCGTCCCTAATAACGACTCTAACGAAGCTCTATAATTGCTTATTAATTATTCGCTGTACAGCGGTTTCCCTCTGTACCTGCCGAATCAGAACGAAGCACGAGGCTAGGAGAGAGTGATCTTCTTGTCCGCGAAATCAGAATCGCCTCTACTCCATGCGATCTCTTCAAGGTACGATTGCACGTTTCGTTCTTACTCTCTAACATTTTATTTCGAGCTTAGAAAAAACACCTCTAAAGAAAGGGTTGCCCTATAACTAGGGCGGAATATTCTTTCTAAGGGCATTTGAAAAAACTCTGTAAGTTAGCATTTCAACAGTTTTCAGCCAGCATATTACAGTTTGTCTATAAGGATTTATTGTTCCATATGTAGGTACATGTAGGTGCTATATGTTTCTACTTGAACCATCTATCAACGGCACATGAGAATCTGGGATTACATGGTTTCTTACTAGCTGACCCATTATCTGAATAATACTGGCAGAGTTCAGTCCCGACAGTAAAGAAGATATTTAAAGTAAGAAGAAGTCATTATGTAATAAATATAATTCGTATGAATTCTTTACGAACGAGTTAAAATCCATCTCTATTTCCGTATTTTCTATAGTATTTAATAATAGACAACCTTCATTTTAATATATCATAGCCTAATGCTTATCGTTGACTTTTAAGCAAAACAATTAATCTGGTAATCTGGTTTACTGTATTACTTTTCTAGCGCGGTATGTATGAACACTATAAGTGATCTATATTAAAAAGTTTTCTTTTGAGCAATATGTGAAAAGATGATTTGTTGTCTAATAACTTTATAAAGTTTAATAGAAATTAAAAAGTATAAAAGAGTAATACCTGGACGGTTTACGGACGCGCTTATGTTTACCATGCCTGCTTTGATAAGAGTGTTTGAATAATACGTATTTCACGTATTCCAAAAACGTGGTATGTATTTATATAAAAGTATTGATAATAGTTATATCAGGTTTCTTCGTAAACGAAAAATCAAGCGTCCTACTTAAATTTTAGCAATAAATAGACTTATCACATGTTCGTCATCACTCTTCATGACTTCCTTGCGTCTATCATATTCCTTCTCTCTAGATATTTTCAGATCTGACATGTATCTTAGGGCCCTTTTCATCGTAAAATGTAAGGTTATTATGTTCATGTGCCAGTGATCAAAGAAAAAAATGAACCTTCGTTAAAGTGAAATATATATTGAAAAATATATTGAGTTCCCCATTCGAGCCCTTGCAGGAAGGCTTTCACAGTTTTAGCCGTATGTAGCCTGGCATTGTTGTGGGAAGCGATGACTGTGTCTTGTCTTTCAGCTATTTTTTGTTCAATCGATGGAACTGTGTTGTTCCTCTCAAGCAGGTCCTAGTGTAAAGGACCGCTTTAACCTTACCAAATACCGGTCTTCTTGGGACGAAGATCTGGCTTAATTCTGGGCTTGGGCATACTTCCCAGAGCCACCAGTTTTTTGCTCCGCTTTATATCTACATGGATACACCACTTTACAGACTGGTAACAATTCTACGTAGGAACCTGTTATTGTGTCTACGCGTTGCTCGATGCTAGACGAGATAGGTTTTGACAAGTAATGAAAAGCTGGGTTTCTTTGCGCAGTAAATCCTATAGATGTGAGGTGGCCATCGGCAATCATATGACCACAATCTGTTTTCCGTTTAATTTATCTACCGTCTTCCTTCAAAGGTGCCGTCAATCAGTTTTCATCGACTTCAGATAGATCGAATCAGATAGCCGACCGAGGCAGGGCACACCTTCCAGTTACCAGATGCTATTCTCGAACCCTGGAAACCAGTTTTAAGCAGTCCTATGAGTTATAGACTTCTTGCTATACACGGCACAAATATACCGTGCTGCTTCGGCACTTGTTTAACCTCAGCAAAAAGGCGAAATAGAATAGGAGTCCGCGAATGTCCGCCTATAAAACTTAAGCTCGAAAGAAAAATCTGCTCACTGTACAATGGACTTACAGCAAAAGTAAAGCACTTTCGTGAAGAACGAAATTACCGGTGGAGGAATAAAAGAAAAAGGTGGCATAGAAGATGAACTAAAAGTATTTGTATTCCAAGTAATACTTTAACTAATATTTAAATTTAATTAGTTAAATTAAATGTCAGCGATATTTATTAAGCAGGCTTCTTTTTAGGCGACGGTTTGGCTACACATACATTGCAAATAGTATTCCATGCAGTAGCTTACTAGCTAGCGCAAATCCAAAATTTCAGAGTTGTTGAAAGGTAGACTTACATATCTTTTCTATATAATTACATGTTATACAAATGTAAACCTATTTCTCTTAGATCCGTTTGCTTTTTGTATTTTCTAGCTTGCAACCCTTTTTTGTTTGTTGTCGTTACAGGTTATTAAACTATATCATCCGATCATGAATAACAGACATCTGTCAAAATGTTTTAACAATTTGCATACTATGGTAAGTTTGCAGATTCGAAAAATACTAGTTCTAACGATAAACATGAATTTCTTTTTGCGTTTATTGATTCGAATTTCGACAACAGGAAGTGTTTATATTTTTTTTTTGTCCCGCGTTTAGTGCTTTTCAGTTTGTCGATAGTTCCTGTAAGGTGAAATACTTTAGGTTCACTTTTCTTTGCGGGAGCGTTTCACGTTTTGTAGATGACCCTCCCCCCCCCCCCCCCCCCCCCCGAATCGAATATGCCTTTGTTGCGTTCTACATGCTATTTTGAAAGAAACCTGTTCTCAAAGCTTCTCGGTAATTTCTCGGCGAGCATCTTTATGTATAAGTAAGTAAGGTTTGCGTGCAGGAATGTACCCATATTTATGTATTACATGTAACTAAGAACTGTAGTTTGCTCAACTGCACAGGTGAAGGAGGGAAAAGCTGACCTACAAACCATTACCGACGCATCAGAGTTCAAGATTCTGTCTGCTCGGGTCCTTAAACGATTACAATTTTACGATGTGGGACAGTTGTTACAACTTCTCAGCATATTTAACACTTTCAAAGTAAGAGGATAAACTCGCTGCTTCCTTTAACTAATATCTAATTATAAAAATAGTAATGAGTGAAACATGTAACGAATTTAAATATGGTTCAATATATAACGAAACTCGTTTCGAGATTATTAAGTAATTAAACAGAGATGAATAAGAGATTTCGTAAATGTCGTCTTTGTTTTAGGTCGCACCGAACTCGTCGTTGGTACAGGGCATTTGTGAAAGTATTCGAACATCATTAAAGTGTTTCAAGGTTAATCAACTGATTTTCCTTGACACCCAGCTCGCTCAAGTATGTTGGTAACGTTGGCTGCTATGTAACGTGACTTAGATACGAGTCAAGCTAGGAGCAAACTGAGGAAAAGCGGATTTTTGACCCGAAGCTTGTCTTCATTGTGCAGACAAGCTTATTATAATGCCATGTACAGGGTAATCCAAAAGCCAAAAAAGTCACATCTAGTGACTTATAGGTTATTCGCTTTTCTGACTATTTGCAACTTACAGCAATTTTAGGTCAGGTGTCTCAGGTGTTTGATGAACATTGCTCAGCACTCAAAGGATGTTTTATCGTTATACTTCGTTCTAACCGATTATTTGCCGTTTCATGTACGTGCCTACAATGCGCCTAGTTTAAAAAACGTGGAGAGCTAACAACGACAATGGAAATTCTTAAATCGACACTACCTATTATTTTCCAAGAAAAATGTACCTCCGAATTCGACATAACTAACCTAGAGAAAACCTTCAAGTAAGTTCACAGATTTTGGTAGTGGGTGTATATATAAACACGGAGGTATTAGCTTCACAACAATAACAGACTGGAATGATGATGCCATACTTGATTGGTACCTGTTAAGCGCTCTACAGTTTCCGAGAGTCTGTTTTTGTTCAACCAGCAACCGTTATGAGTAAACAAAAGTTGAGCATGTTTCGCTAGAACGGCAACAAGTCTCAGAGAGATTATGTATTCCTGGAATCAGCTTCCAGCTTATGTAAACCCATAAAAATCCGCATTGTGTTTTCGTATTTCGCTTAACATTGTCCTAAACTTTAACAGTGCGTCTCGTAGAAGCTCGAAAGAATTCTATGATAATATTGGGGCTCTTAATTTTCCTACACTTATAGGAAAGCTAAAGCGTCTTTGTTCAACCTCTAAAAGGCCAGTCTTGTCCTCTGTTATATTCGAAATTGGCACATCGATAGTAACATTATGATAGGCAATAGTGCCGCTTCGTAATTATGATCCCAATCCTGTTTTCCAGAGTGCGCAATTAGTTTAGTTTATATTGATGAAATCTAATGACAGCGTTTTGTATTGTATCTAAGTGCTCTAAGATTCGCTGTTCGCACCGGCTGCAGCGATCAAACGTTAGAGTTTTTTTCCTCGTCGCTTACATCATACTGCCGAAGTATCAGCGCTTGCAAAGCTGCGAACCTGCTAATCGATATACCAAGTACCAACAACGAATTTCAAGATAATACCAGTGATAAGTTCGGCTCGTCTTCATTCAGGTACGATCTTCAAAGTAGATCCACTTCAGACAGGCATACAGCTATTGCGCTATTGTCTTCAGCCGTACATGATAGGTCCGAATGATATATCCTCTGTTCGAGCTTAACGTAGTATTCGATCCCTGTACTTATACAATACAATTGATAGGGATCTCAAATACGGAGCGGGTTAAGTGACTCAAGGAATCGTCTTTTGCCCTACCTCTCTACGATGCAGTATTCACAAGAGAATGATTCCCATTTATTTTAATTATGCCCCACTAAATTTGTAGTAGGTGTCGTATGAGGTTCATTAGCTGATTTAATTCATTAGCTTGCCTTTGATGTGACGATGTTTACGAACTAGTTACTCGTTTCTTGAAACTTTGACAGTAGGTTGCCCGCTCTGACCTTTTAATTCGCTACGATATGCAGGATTCCTGACACAATATAGGAGGTGCGTCAAAACAATTATGGTTTACTTCAAATTTTTCTTCTATTATTTCAGGGAAATCATTCACTCATGTATGGATGCAATAACAAAAGACCCTCGCAGTATTCGTAAAGTTGCGGTTAGTCTGTAGATTGAGATACGCATTTTGACTATTATATTCGTTATCATTAGACCGAGTTTATTATTTTGGGTATGGGTAAACACTTACAGTTGTATAAGAGGGCAGTACAATAATGTTTTTAATAATTATTTACCCATCGTTTTTATCTAGCATTTACGTGTGATAATGTGATTTATGGTCAACAGTAATTTTTTAGCTCGAGTAAAGAACATATTGTATAAAAAACGAGTAAAAAATACTATATTATTTTTTGCTCCCATCGACAGCTAGGCAAACCAATCAGAGCTTGTACAGTAACAGATTTTGTGAATCTAAGTGAGCTTCTGTTCATGGCTTAAGATGCTTCCTTTTACTACCTTGTCTTCATCAGGTCCAGCTACTCGTCGGAAAGCTACCCATTCTGGGCTTTTCGGAACGTCTTTATGACGCCCTTTGGGCCTTGGCGGCTGAGGAAAAATGGAGTCTTTCGCAAGTACGAGCACATCTTTGGACTGCATAATTAATGACTAAATTGACATAATGAATAAATTACGTTCTGTTTAAATGTGCATGAATTCGTAAGAGCAGCCTTGTAGTAGTAAAGTGCGATTATTTCAATATGATGCGACATGCCAGTGACATTTCGAAGCTACTTTGCTCTGCATGGCTTCCTTGTTAGAATAGTCGACCTGAACCTTTAGCAGGAGCATTTAGTGCTAGTTATATATATATATATAACTAGCACTAAATGCTCCTTTCATCGTAATAGCCTAGTGACTGCTTGCTAATCTTGGGGGCACGGTGTGGTGTGGCCTAGATTCGGACCTGGGAATACATACACGGTTCGTTTCGGGCTGAATGAGATGCCTAACAGCGCTAAAATTCCAGACATGTGTAACATCTATTTCATCTTTGACATATTATTTATACTAATACATTCACACGTAATATATCAGTTGACTACAGACGAACTAAGTCATTTTTGTGTGCAGTTAGAAAAGTAATCGCGGCCTTTGAGCATTTTCTTTCTATTTCTTTTCAGGTCACTTCGCTAGCTTATGTCTCCCAACGAGCAAAATATTTTACAGTCGACAGTGGCAAGTTGATTCGGAACAAACTCAATGAAGAAAATGAGGTAACTTATCTAATGCTTCCGATACTCAAGGATCAAGTTCGAATTGAATTGCCAGAAAAGATTCATAACTCATTAGCGTTATATCAAGTTGGAGGCTCCATAATAACACTCATTCTATCCTTTGTGTTCTACTCGTATGAAGACTCCAACAAGATCGGTACTCCTGTCGCGTTTCATAGCTTACCTTTCGTGTCATAATCGTCTTCTAAGACTACACCCGCCGGACGCCGAAGGTAATATTATTATGTGACGACCGTAACAAGGCCTTTCCATGAATGATGTATCTCAAAGCTTCTGACAGATTGCCCTAATAGTTAGTATCACCTTAAGCAATTAAACAAATGCTGAAACAAAATATTAAAGTATAATCTACGAATGTTAGCTAGCGATGTGACAAGTCAAAAGTGACAACTCGAAAATTACTAAAAGCAGGACTTCGGGTAAAAATGATATGAGACTAAAAAAGAAACTTGTGGACTTACATGGGCTGAATCTTTATTGGGAAGATTTTTACTTTCAACTTATCACCCCGGTGACTAAGCATCCCTATTTTTTTATTACGTTGTTTTCTAATTTTTACAAACTGAAAATTTGCAATTCGTATGGAACGATGATAATATATTAATAGAGCGAATATACATTTCCACAGCGGATCTGGTATGATTTAGTCATGTCCTGAGGCCGTTCATACGATCCCCTAGACTTCTGCTTTGGCTTGCTCATCACATCTGGTTTCCAATTTAAGAGATGGTTCGGTGTAGTATTACGGTGATTGCCTGTTTTTTTTTTCTTGTACCAAGCCGTACATGACACAGAAACGATCTTCTGCGTTAATCTGGCCGTCTGGTATTAAAAGCAATCAACGTTGCAGATGAGGACGCTCTCACTAAAAAGGCTGCCTGCATTATCGCTGCGAGTATCGAACCCAAGTGGTTGATCTCTTCACCGTCACACTTCAGCAAATTCGTAAGAGACCTGGCTATTACTGGTGTCTTCCCGAAGAATCATGTGAGTTATTGCGTGAATGATGCTTAGTGTGGGCACGTCCAAGAAAGCACATTTCTGTGGATCTCACAGTAATGAATAAAATCTTCTATGGAAAATAGGTGCAGCTTTTTAGTTCGCTAGCTACGTGCAATTATAAAACATTCGGTCGGGTACTTAATAGCTTATTGGTACATTGTAGCGAGCGATTTGATTCACAAGTCACTCGGCCTGCTTCTGGTTAGACCAGTAAAGTGTACGGTCGACATGCTTTAGCTCTCCTTTCAATCACTGGATGACCTTTCAACTTTGACAAGAGTTTTAACTATCGATTTGATTTAATGTTTGTTTAGTTGGAAATGTTGTTTAGTCCGACTTTTCAGGAGAGCACTTTGACGGCAAGCAAAAAAGCGAACCCGAGAATCCTGAAATGTTTACTCGATGCGGAACAGTTAGTTCGTCTAAACCTGCCGGAGGTACGCCCTTCAATCATCTTACGAACGACCCTAGAAAAGCAATATGCGATTCATCGGGATAAATGTTGATAAGTGATCCGCAACGAATGCTATAAGTATATACATTATGTATTCGTTCGCGTTGGCCCGAGAAATGGTAGACTTCATTTTAGATGAACTGTGTTTTTGAATGTCGCTTTACTGGGAGTGGATGCTTAACTTTAGTACGTTGGACTTACTGAAGGGTTCGACAGCCTTTCGGCTTATCCCGGAGCTGCGGTCAGAGGCACTGCATTGTTTGGACCATTTTGCCCTCGATTGTACACCGGTTAAGGCGCATTTGGCTAACGCGTTGGGAGGAAGCCAGTTTTTAGCGGAAAGGGTCGTCACGCCTTTCGATACAAGAATTGACTTGATGGTCGCTATGCGACGCGGCGACTACCCTATCGCGATATCTGACAATAATAGTACTAATGATGATATATTTCAGGTAGGTTTGCATCCAACTCGAATATTTAGTAGTGCTTAATTGTGTTTACATTTAACATACACGTGCGTTTTGTATGCTTCCAAATAGTGATAAAAAAAAAACTATTGAGATGCATTTTACGTCAAATATAATCGGGTAAACCTTCTTTTACTGTTATTTCTCAATGCATGGGTTAATTCGTGAAGATAGTGCCAGAGGCCCGGTCTTATGCTTGAACCACTAGTACCGTACTTATAAAATGGTTATACGGCATAGGAGGTTTAGAAAATCGTCAAAGACATTGCGAATAAGTAACGCGCGTTTGTAACTATTGATTGTTCAGAGTCTTCCCGCAGAGAGCAAAGTTGTAGCTATCATGCTGACAACCAAAGCTCAACTTCTCCGTGGTTCGGGATTACCGATGGTGCGTACAAGTTATCATTCTTGTAATTATTTAAAACGTGCATGTGTGAGGTTATTCAAAATTATCGCTTGGAAGGGAACGACTACCGCCTGTACGATGTTTGTCTTTTCGTAGCAATGGATCGTAAAAAGCTTGCATGAATTTAGCTTAGAATGATTTCATTAAGAGAAGAAAGGGTGCAGGGCAGCTATGGAGCATCCGAAGCAAATAAACGTAGGGCACCATTTATGTTTTAGCTAGTAAAAATTATCTTCTTTAGAATATAGGAACGCGACGACTATAGGAACCTATTTAAGCTACAAGACTTTTTATCTAATAGAGCTCTGGTGATGCCTGATTCTTCAGTCCTAAACGATGACTCTGATGTATTATTTTATTCAAAGGTAATGCATTGTCAATTGCCCGTTATTGTGCTAAAGAAATATGCCATAGGATCACGTCGTAAGAACGAGTAATTTTTCAAATTCGGTAATTTCTAGCTAACCTTGCTGTATTTTATTAACCTCCATTTTTTTTTTGTTTGTATTTGTTTCCATACACGTTTAGCATTAACATAGAAAAATTGTGCGCGAAATATTTAGCTAAGCTTACAGCCCCCTCTGGTACGACATGTATATACCCAGAAATGATTAGACGATCTGGTATCGCTAAGGTTATGTTAAATAATATTCCATTGAGCTATTTCACAGCCCCATTTTCATCTTGTCTCATCATATGTTTAATCGATACACTGCTAAATCTCATTATTGAATGTAGTTGTTAGAAGCTAAGTTTATAGTAGTTTATACCTAACGAGAACTTCTATGCCTGCATGAAATGCTAAATCAAAGGAAAATCTGTAATCATTAAATATATACAGCCTGCCGTTCAGTGCCGTACGGGAATTACCACGTGTGAAATTTATGCAAACTTCTTGTTTGTCGACTTCATGTTCAGCGTTGATGCCAGCCGTTTTTTTTTCCCATACTTTTACGTAAACTTATGTATACCTTTCAATTTCTTCGTTGCTGTGATTCCATCGTGATTCTCTAGATGGATGAATTGGTTCAAGTTGAACTTCTTCGAGCACAAAGGATGTGTCCGGTAGTCATCAACCTGGACGAGTGGATAGCTCTGATGGAGCACGAAAAAATACCGTACATTATGCAAAACATCAAGAAAGCTCTAGAAGTCGGACAAGCATACGAAGGTTGTAAAATGGACGTTGACGCTATCTAATTTTTGTGTATTTAATAAAAATTAAACATAAAGTCTTCGAACATGTAATGATCGGTTGGCGAGAAAGTGTCTAACGCGAGATGTCTATACCACGACTTCGTACGAACAGATACTGTGATAATAATTGTCTAGTGTAGTTATATCCTTAGTCGAAACGATAGCACCGGGTCTATCTCATTGTCGCTCTGTCAGCGACTGTTTATGTGACCTTTTGATTGGAAATAAAAATTGTTTTAGTTCAAAAGGTATGACGAAGTATAACATTTACTGGTAACAATGAGTAAGAGTGTCAGGCCTTGTTGCTCATTGTGCCAATCAAAGGCGAATCCGGATGGCAGAAAATGTGTGCTAGCTATAAAACGTTTGTAGATAAGCTGGTTGAACTAAGTTAAATAATGTAGAAATTTTACCCTGTAATATATGTGTTTTATTATTATATATTTTATATATGTTTTATTTTTTTAAATAGTTGTAAACAAAGAGTGTTTTTGAGCACATATTTTTTCTTAAATAAACATCCGAGCCAGTTATATAGTAAACGGTCGTTAAGCTACCAACTGAGCTGAATTTTTGTAGATCTTAATAATCTCTAGAAAAAATACTTGAATATGTTTCATTCTGATATCTAGAGACGATTTACAGTTTGGTGTAAATTGTAATCTTAATACATCTAACAACGGAATAATCTTTCTTCAAAAAAGTTGTCAGGTTTTCGAAATTCAGACACAGTTTTCTAGTGTTTATATAAAGCAGGCCTATTTCGTTTGATAAATCCCTTTATTTTAAAAAGGAAACGATTATTGACACGATTTTGTTTACAGTTCGTTTTTGCCGCCTCATTTGGGGCTTTCTGGCAGTTCAAAGCGTATTCTCTGCGCAGTATCAAGATTCGATGAATTTTCTTAATGCTTCAGTCAGAAAGCAATACAAAGGTTTTTTACTGATATTAATTAAGTTGATTCGTAATAAGATAAATATTTACTTTTAAAAATGATACGTAAATACTTTTAAATCTTGAAAATTATTTAAAATTTTGCGGAAATAACTATTGCACGTACTGTATCAATCAACGTACGTAATGAGTTATCAAACGTATCTCTTCACCATCCTGTGGAACAATAACCTATCTAATAAAACAGGTTAACATTTCGATATCTATTGCTTAAAAATATGAACAGCTATTGATCGCAGGCATAATAAAAGTTCTAGCTGCGGTAAGGTATAGAACACACATTTTAATTTTAAAGTACCATAGTTAAATTGAAAATAACTTAGTTCACCCCTCATTGTCCCCACAATAACCGCACAGGTTGTCAGAAATCATATAACAGAACTTCCTAGTGCTAGATGGCACTAGGTTTTATCGACAGTTAATGCTACGGCAATAATTATGTTATTATAATAACTATCCTACTATTATAGCATATATTCATTACTGTTTGGCATACATTATTACTCTCGTATATTTTCACAAAAATCAACAGTGAACTTTTCCGGCATCGGTACCCACAATCGTATGAAATATAAGGATTGTTTTATAAAGCAGTCGTGTCCGACTCATAATCATACGTAGTGATCTGAGCCATCCGTAGCCCGATCTATCGTGTCAACCATGGAGTAAATTTTATCGGTGATTTCACTTGTGGGGAAAATTTGATACTATCAATTTAAGGTAACAACCTTTTCTAATATTGTACAGGCAGTTTACGATTCGGTTTCACGTCACGGTCGTCTCTGTCCATTCCCATTGCTTAGTAGTAAGGTCTATATCTCTGTATGCTTACCTATTACATTGCCTGAGGGTAAAACACTGAAAGGATGAATATAATATCGATAATTTTTTTGCAAAAAATACGCCCGATTTTTTAGCGTTATATTTATCGATTTTTTCTTTGTTCTTCAATTGCAGGCTGCATAATGTAAATTTTAATGCTGAATCCATTGAAGAGACTAGCCGGACGTACCCAAATATAAATCTTTGCCTTTAGTGCGTTTTTACGGGATGTGGCGTCCGACATGTAGAGACGAATGCAAGCCAGAATAGCTGCGAACACAATAAAGCATTGTATGATGACAGTAACATGTGATCGGCACTGTACGTATTGGCGAGCTAGGTTACATATGTGTTATTTCTATAGGGTTACAAGGTTTACCCCTACCACTTATGCATAGTTGTTTGCATTTCATATTTTTCGTTACTTCTTCATCGGTACTTTTTAATATATCGTGCCGTATGCAAATACAAAGTACGACCTTCATGATGATGGTCCTAGAAAGCTTATTATTTTTGTACATTGCACCCGAAGGGCATTCAGGAATAGGCAGTTTAAATGTGCACCTTGTTTAAGCGTTAGGCATATTCCTGTACAAATAGGTTGTTTGTTTCATAGTTACAGTCAGCCTTCTCCGATCACAGAAATAAAAAACTTGTAGCTTGTTGCTCATGTTGGTCAGTCAATATAAAGCAAAACTACACCCTGGACATGGGCAAACAGTGATTTCAGCAACATCATATCAGTCCGCAAATAGACTAACCTAGCTTTAGCAAAATTCAGGTTTTCATCTATTTTAATGGTAGAAATAAATGGTAGAGTATGCCAAACAGCCAACGCGTGATTATCCTATTAATCATCGTAATAAACAGGAATTTTTTGGCACGTTAGTGTATGAAAAAAAATACCGTGTTTGTAGTTTATAGTATATTTATAGAAGGTACTTAGCTTATAGAGTGAAATTATATATTTTCGAATTTGTTTAATGCAGTCGTCAAACTATGACTTTTCAAATCAGTCTTCCTCGGAACGAAATCATTACCGTCTTAGTAAATATGCGTGGAGTTTTATTTTAAAAAGATCCACAGATTATGTGTCTTTTATCCTGTTGCGAAGGCTTCTTTTGCAATATAACTCTAATAGTACGAATCACGAACTACTGCAATATAAAATGATTTCTTTGAGTGTTAGTTACTAGAAAGATTTCATGTGCTGGATTTCATGGATATGTTTTGCTCGGTATATATAGTTATAGGGTTGTCTGAGAAAGACTGACAGTTTCTTTGGTGGGTGAGTTCAGAGTTACATATCTCAGGCAATATTCCAGAAATTTCGATATTAAAGATGATTCCCATAGTGATCGACCAGTAACGAAAAAAGTTGATGAAATTATTGCGAAAATTAAGCTAGACCGATACGTGAATAGCCACGAGATCACCGAAAAACGTAACCTAATGGTTTTAAACCAAAATTACAAAAATGTATGAAAGCCTCAAAAATATTTTACTCGAGCGTATTTTTTGATTTGCAAGAGCTTCTCTACAAAGTCAAGCCATCTTGAAACTGATCGATTGCCGAACAATAATATGCAAATAGAAAATAAGGTGCTCCACAACATATGGCACAAAGCCCAGGCTGACGCCAAAGAAGGTAACGCTATGTGTTCAGTAGAATTAGTGTTTTTTTTCTTTTATTTATCCGTTTAAAAAATTCGGAAAAAAGTCATTGATCGGTTCTTTCTCTAATGCTAAATGGTTTGTTTTTGCTTCATAGGCAAGTAGACGTTTGCAAGCGAGACGTTGTTCAAGTCAATAGCCAAATTCCGTAACGCGATTAGATTCAATGCGGCCAGTTCAGACCAGCCTTTATCGATCGTTCATTGTGGTTAGCTTTGTTAGTTTGTGGATGAAGCCCCTATTTTAGGGGCACGCTTTTTGCTGTGCCTCATTAAGCCCAGGGGGCAAGAGTCCTGGCAGACTGTGCTAGGCGCCGGAAATTCCCTGGAGCGGAAAGGCCCGTTAGACCGTTGAAAGTCTCGAGTGAACACTAGCAACAATGCCACAGTTCTGACAAAACAGGACAGCATATGATAGTTAACTCGCTAAGTTTACCATCAACCAATATCCTGCGTTAAGTATAAGCGTAGAATATACAAAAAATTGCTATACCTGGTTTCGACTAAGTAGTACGTGAACGTGAATACGCGCTAACAGCGTAAGCATACCTTCTATGATGCGTATAGTTACGTGTTATAATTTTGATATATTAAATTTTCAAGGCATTCTTTTTCTGTGGTGTCAGATATACCAAGCTTTTAGGGCTATCTCTTTACTTTTATTGCCAACGAGTAATATAAAATCTCATGCGGTATGTCGTATCATGATTTCACACTTTACGTCCGTTATCTAAACCATTAGGCACTACTTATACGGCTGACTCTCAGCACGAAATAAGGCGCGTCTTGCCCCGCGCAAACGTACGGCACCATGTGTCTGCAAAGGGCAAACACATATGCATCGCGCTATCACAGGGACAGCAAAAGTCATCACTTCGAAGTCCAAACGAATTAGCGCTGCTCTAGCTCTCCGTTGATCGGATTAAACAAAAATACATAAGCAAAATACAATTGAAAATTCTGCAAGTGATTACAAAAATCGATTAGGAGCAGTGATGATCTAATTGAGCCGTCTTCGGTGAGCCAGGGGTAGATGTGGCACCTATATTGAAGGTCATCTGCGATCAACAGTCAAACGTTGAACTAACCAATGTTAACGTGCACCGGAACTACATGTCCCAATTCTATTTTTAGACTGCTTTGAATAACTTTCAGTAAGAACTATTATTGAAGTTCAGGATTTTCGTTCTTCGGGCTTTGATAGAGCGACAAAAGTTGAAATGTTACTAAATAGTGCAAAAAGATAGTATTGAACTTCTTGACAACTGTCACGATGTACATGAATTAGTGATAACTTACTAATGTACGCAGTGAGAATACATATCTATGTATAAAGATGGCGAGGCACAAGTCGTTGACTAGTTGAAACTACGTTCAGAGCTACTCGTTTCCTATCTATCACGTCTTTTCGTGACAAAACAATCAACATCCGTGACAAAAATCGTCATAAGACACCGATTTTCGAATCATCCTTCCCATGGAACAGCGTAGGTAGAAAGAATAACTTGGTGGAAAGTACCTGTGTTCAGGCACGGCACGGGACTTAAGTGTCTTTCTTGAACACAGAATAATCAAAGTAAGATTATCTGTTCATCTATCCTTGGTATGAAAAAAGCTATATTCTTAACGTCAGAGCCATTTACTGGCTGCACTTTAAAATATTTTCGTCAGATATTTCAATAAAAACAGATAAGTACTTTTACTCTGTTTTGTTAGTGAAGAACTGTAATGCAAAAAAACGAATCATGCAAACATATCTGCAGATAAAGGAGGATCAGTTGTTGCAAGTTAGCTTAATATATATGATATATCCTTTTAAGATTTTATTTCGATAATATTAATTATATTCTATTTAGCTGTTATTATTAATAATGGAGTCCTAAATTTTTGCAATGTAGGCTGCACAAGGGAAATACTATTTGGCATCTGTTAAAATAATTTTAACCTAATATCATAAACTATATATATATATATATTTAATGTATATATATCTACTCACATTGGTTTGAATTCAGTCATGTCAAAAATTTTAATTTATCTCCAGCTTCGTATTTCAATGCCTGTGTAGATGAATATATATAATTACAAATTCTACTTGTGTTACTGCAATTGCATCACCCTGAAGCAAAGGATACGATAATTTGTAATAGACTTCATATACTTCAATGTTTTACGATGATGCACATGTTACTAAATATTTATCATGGGCGGTGATTATTGATTTGGAGTAAGGATGGTTTCGTCGGGGGTCTAAGGTCCACTGAAGGAATAGTTGTAAGAAAGTGTAGAATGGGTTAGGTAACAAAGAAAGCCCATGTGGCAATGTTCACTTGGCGGAGAGATAAACTAAATGGTCTTATATATCCGCGATGCGGGTGAATCACAATTAGGTGTCAAAATAAACTTGTTAAGACGTTATTAACGCGCGTCACATCACTCAAACGTTTACGTTTCAATGACGCTTCCTCATCCAAAAATTCGTGTCTATAGATTTAGACCATGAACTGTGAAGAATATCAACAAACCAATACTATGTGTTTCTTTCGTCTTGCCTATAGTTAAGTTAATAGACTTTCAATAGTTTTTATATATTTTTTAGATATATTTCATACAATAACATAAATAATTTCAATCGTACTATGTCGAAATTGTAACTTGAATTTTTACTAAGAGGTTACGAGTCGCATTAAAATCGCCTATCGTATTACTTCATCAGCTCTAAGATGTATATATATATATATAATTAACCGCTTACGCGGCGATGGCCGTGATCAAAGCAACAATACTAACAGTCAAATTGTGGAACATGGTATGGCTAAATAGGTCGATAATATACGATAAGTATTTAACTGTTACCAGTAAATCCCGAACTTAAGCCTTTAACTAGTTGTATTGAAATGGTAATTTTTTAAAATGAGTTACGCTCTACGAGTTTTTTACACACCTGGCTCAGCGCCCTGGCAGCTTGTAAACATATATAGCATTCGCGTTTTCACATGTAGCTTCTCTTCCTAGAGCTTATCAAAGTAAATCAATAATAGTATACCGTTGCCTTTTTCGCAGTTGTCCTTTTTAAGGCATGAGAAGCCCCGTAACTCCCGTAAAGCCCCGGACTCGGATCGGGACAATAAGAGGGTTCAAGCCAGCGTTAGATATTCGTTTGCCCAATTCAAAGAGGAACCGGAGCATGGCGATGAGGGCTGACATTGCTGTCGAGTAACCAGATAGCTTGTTTTCGATTGCCATGCTACGGACTATACGTCTCAACTAGATTATATAAAAAATAGAAATTATAGAATATTTTATTTTCGGTGAGTATCTGGTAACAGCACATGCCCCCGATGTTCACCGCAAGTACTATTGTCAGCTTATATCCGGATCTACTTCTTATAACGACGTCATTCCCTTTCGTACTCCCCCCCTCTCTGGCTGGCAGTGGATATTAACCTATGCCTCGTATATGGCAACCATACGCTTCAGGCGTGCTCCTTGTTCGATAAAAGCTCGAACAATTGCAGGTGGAGCAGATTTCCATCAGGCCTGGAATTTTCAACATCGGGATTATAGCTCTGTAGGACGTTACATGTAAAATGTCAGGCTTAGCCGACACAGTTCCTATAGTACAAGCGCTTCTCCTGTGATGCACTCTCGACTGCAGCGATGCGATATCATCTGTCAGGTATCGACATCTAGTCACCTGCGCGCTGGTTTTCAGTACCCCGATCCACGTTCTTAAAACGTTTGCGCCATTCACGTACTGCACTTTTGCTCAAGGCCCCCCTTATCTAATGCCTTCACTAACCTTCGGTGAAGTTCCGCGGTGCTGAGACCTTCGAGGAAATAAAACTTAATGACTGAGCATTGACTTTTCAAGGCTAGAATATATTTTTCCTGTGAACTTACATTTCCCGAAGTAAACTCAGCCGGGCTTTACTCGCTAGCGTAAGACTGAAATATTCATTAGTAAAATTTCCTCTGCTTGTAGCGTGTAGTGCAAATATCAAAGTCCGCCAAATCTGGTCCTGGCTGTACGCAGGAGTTCGTATATTACCGCCGTCAATACGTTCAGTGTGGAGGCATTCGGGCTTCTAGTTCTATGTATGTCATAGTAATGAAATATCTATGGAGCCCGAAAGCGTGGACCGTGGTCTATGTAATGAAACAGAACGGCTTTCGATAATATAACACAGTTTTTAATGGTGATCGACCATAACTGAAACAAATAATAATTACCTAAGGTAAAAATGATTTATCGTTATGACCGAAAGTAAATTTTTCGTAAATCTAAAAATCTCGTCGCCAATAAAATTCATCGTATTTCTATTATACATTTTTATGCATAGTATGTATCTAGTCGACCGACCAAGATCTGATGTAAACATAAGGCGAAAAAAAAAAAATAACACCTGATACGCCCGCAGATTATGTCAACAAAAATGTGTTCCCTGTTCACTAGATTAGCTCACAGGAGTTTGAAGTGTTGCCAAAGAAAGTTCAAAAATTTTTATTCAGACTTAAGTTACAGCCTACACCTACATTCTAAGTTTGGCGATTAAGCTACGTTATGTTACATAAGGTACTTTTAAAGTCATGCTCCTTTTTCAAAATGCGTTCGGTACTAATACTACGTTTGATTATAGGAACACAACGGGTTATTTATGGCGTTTTTCTTTTGCCATATACATAAAAATTTTTCGTCCGCCATATTATCACATATGATAAATCACGTTGACAAGTGTTTTCAACACTATCATTGCTTCTACCTTTGTTACCACCAGTTAGCTAATCAATAAAAACAATGTATTTTATTATTGGCTCCACAGGAAGATCCATATGTTAAAATTTCCATATATTAGTTCTGATCGAAACGGCCTGGTTATCATTCGCGGTCCCACATCTGTGGGTCATTCGCAGGTGTCCCCCTAACGATCATCCATTCCAAATAGCAATGTTGTTGTATCACCAACACTGTTTCTGCTAACGTTACTGATACTATCCTGACACTATCTTTCGGCTCCTAAGCGCTTTAACCGTCCGTCCCCAGCCTACACGTCTACATCGTGGCTGCCGGTCTTGACCCGCTAGATTAAGTAATGCCCTGACAGCAGACCGCGACGTTACCTAACGGCACAAACTGAATAACGAGCGAGCGCCACCGCGCCGCTCTGTGAAGGTTGATGCTTATGTGCGTGCGGGGTTGGTCGGTTGGGATTTATCTATATTGAGCTTATCCGTGCTAGGGGGTCCCGATTGACAACGACGCCATTAACAGCAATACTAGCAAGGGGCAATAGAAGAACTGGATAGAGTCATATATCTTGCTAACATCATCTGATGTCGTTGAGCTATAAATCTGTTCAGCTAGACGCGCTGTTACTGCTTAACCATTGCAGTGAATGGCTGCTTTCTGAACGGACCTAGTGGCGGCAGGCTGTGACGGAAAATCCGTGTTGTTATGCAGACCGATTCGTGTCGTGGTAAGCTGGATCGACATTGTTTACGAGTGTTTTCGTTTTTGGCGCGCAATTGAAATTATCTCAGGTAATATTGTATGTTAAGCTTGGACTAAGCAGCATCCTGCTATAGTTTAAGACAGACGATCTCTATACTGACTGAGAATCTGTTAAGTATCTTGACTATGGAAAACATTAGATCGGAAGCGATTCCAGTAACACGGCCTTATCGGGACATCCTAATATTGGCGTTGTAATAAATGGTAATTAGTACGTCAGCACTAATTACTGAAAATTACGATATCGTCAAACTTTAATGAAGCGAATTTTGAAGGTCCGTTTGTAATCATCATCGGACAGGCGTTGCCGAAGAACCATATGCAGGCCACTTTAAGGCGTCGACAACGACGATGATTAAAGTTCGAAACCTAAAGCTTTTCGGCGTCTTAGTTTTTACAGAGGTAGATTACCAAATAGAAGAGCGCCGAACTATGACTGAACTCTCTTTCTACGCAATACTTTCTCCGTCCGTAGAAAGATGTTGTATACCGAATTTTTAAATAGAGGCAACAATCTGTCAGGTATTTACGAATTGTGTCATATTCGCAGTCAGGTAATAATACAAAAGGCAAAGTGGCTCATCGAGAAGCAACTTTTCCGTATTCGACCCACGGTTCAAAGATAGCTCAGCTGATACATTGTTCGATTCCGTTGATTGTATGACTACATTATGTCTGGATAATGTAAACGGGGAAAAAAGATCGACGAAAGATGCGCCTTTTATAGACCAAAAAAAAACAGACTGAAGTTAGATAAACGTAACATTTCTATACGGTATTGTTCAAGGTGAACCGCAGCGACGTGGGGTCAGACCTGATACATCTGTCATTGTTGACAGGTTGGCGATAATATTTTGTTCTGAAACGATTTCTATGAAACACAGATGCATCTGCAAGCGTCTTGCCAGAGCGCACTCGTGTCTTCGCGGTGCGATCAGACAGCGAGAATCTTTCCACGAGAACCTTTTTAGCTATGCAGTAACGATTGGCGTTACTTAGATCTGAGACCCCGACCATTTTAATTACACGCAAATGCCAAACTTACTGAAATGGAATAGCTTTACGTTGACCTCCTCAATAACACAATTTCCTCCATGCGATGCTTGAATTATTGGAAGTACTTCTGTCATCTGAATGCATCAAGCCATTATCCGTGTCCTTTTCAACATGCTACAATCGTAAAGCACAGGAGCTCTATTGAACACTAAAGATTTCAAAGACTTCCAGTCGCTTAATCTGCTCGCATGTTCCGCCCTCGTAGCCTCAGGGCTAGCTTACAAGGTCTGGGCCCTTTCGGGTCAGAAACAACTAAAATGCTGGATCCTAGTCCTATCGAAATAAACACAGCATGTGAGTTTACTTTCACCAAAAATACATCTAAATATTTTTTGCATTCATGATGACTCAGTTGCTTGTTGTTGTCTATTGCCTTTATGCCAGAGAGTGGGTGCTTGACACGACTTTTTCCAATAGACTCGTTTTTTTCTGTCGTTTTGATATCTAATGAAAAAAAAAAAGGAAAATTCTTCCAGTTTGTATGTGCTAATAGCTAATTAATTATTTGAGCTACACTACGTAAACCTTTTAGGCTATCACAAACACTTTTGCCTAATTGTGCCTGTGGTTAGTCCCTTAGAGAATTACACAAGAATTAACACACTGTATTACATACGAGAAACAGTGTATTAAAATTACACAGTGTTTCTCGTGTAATTGTTTAAGGAAGTACTGCCACTTGCATTAACCTATTTAACTAAATCGAGCAGTAAGACTGCCTATAAACTCAGATTTAACGGGAGAAATATCTGCTATAAAACATTACTAATTATAATTTTGGCTGACTTCACAGCCTCATTTTGTAGTGGTATATTTATATTGATATAAGCGGACTGCAACACTGCAGTCGGAGACGAGCGACGTGCCTTCGGGCGGCGAAGTGCTGTGGAGAAATAAAAATAATAACAATAATGATCATACAAAAAAAAAAGGTTCAGCATATACATGTATTTGAAAACTACTGAATTAGTGTTTGATAGCACTTGTTATTGGGGCATTTGAGAGAAGAGAAACGTGCTCGGTGTTCGAAAACATCGTTATTTCCGCATGTTGTCATTTCAGAACTGTAAATATTCATAGGCAATCATACCTTTTGCTTTTCCTGCTCCAAGATCCATCATCTTAGGCCAGTGCAATAAGTAACGACCCTTCTAAGTCAAATAAACTGAATTTGAGCTGCCCAACCCAGTAAAAATACCATACAAGCAAATCCAGCGTACTTTAAAGCTGAAAAGCTTTTGAACTATGCGCCGCCAGCAGGCGAAAATGGGACTCGTGATTAACCCAACCTCTTATGAGAAAAACGGGAGAAATAAGTTCAAAAGGTAACAAAATTCTTTAGTCTCGAAAACCAACCTTTAAGGGTGAATTTTTTGTTCTCTGAAATCGATAGTGCTAAGGAAATTCAGCGTGAAATAGTGAAGACATTGGGCAAGGAACCCTAAGCGAAACCACAATACGTGAATGACGCAAACATTTCAAAAGCAGACATTAAAATCTTGAAGACCACCGAGGAGGTGGTCAAATGTCGGGAGCCGAAGGACGAGACCGTATTAAAGAGTTTGCAGTTTAATGCCTCTATCGGCCAAAAATCACGTGTGGCGTCTTACATTATTAAAAGTGTGGTAACTAAGAAAAAAGGGATTCCCCGTAAGTTGTCTCCAGACTAGTTACGTTAGCTTGATGTTTTCCAGGCAGAATTTGGAGAACTTTAATTAACAAAGAAAGAAAAAAGAACGCCTGGTATATACGATGACCACACACAAAGCATGGGCAGATCTCTACCGCTAACCGGAGCGGCCAGGCGAAGGAACGACGTCGTCTCGGAGGGAAATCGAATTCGGCGGCAGTGTCGAATAGGTTCGTATTTATAATGGACATCAGAGGTATTTGCTTCTGTGAGATACTCGCTGCAAATGGAACAACGACTGCAATTCGCTATTCCGAAAGACTCATCGACGGTTAGCTCGGCAATTGATCAATTTGATGACAAGGTTAGAATTTGGTAAAGGACTACCCTTCATTTTTTCCAATTCAAGTCGGCGTGATTACGGGGTTTCCTACATGTCAAAAAGCCAATAGGTAGGCAAGCACATTTCAACATGGATTCACTTTGACAAGTCAAAGATGGTGAAGTTGCGCATGGAAATATGAATAGTAGGTGTATAGCTGCCCAAAAGCTGTTAGAGCGCCTGAACAACTGCATAAGAGGTAAAGAAGAATACTTCTAACACATTCAAAGAATGATCATACTCGCGTAAATATTTATTAAAACAGTTATTTAGGCTCCGTTGTAAAGATCGCCGGATTCGCTTGTAGGAGCTTAGCAAAGTTACCAAGTTATCTCTTGTCACAAAGGGAGCCAAGACTTCGTTAAGTTATCGATAGCATTTTTCAACATATCAAACTATTGCAAATACCACTTACACATGCAAATAGATGGTAAAAGATACCATATTATACGCGAAAATCATATTACTTCTGACAGATAGTATAAGCCATCAACGAACGTATGACAATTGTCATGATCATGTAAAGCGTTTACCGCATTAAGCTGACATCAAGATAAACCAAGAAACTGAACTAAAAATAAACATATATACACGTGTGGTTACATAACAATAAAACACACGATTTGATGGACCACCGGTGTCGTCACAGACGACGGTATAATTTTATTTCTATCATTACTGTTATTACCGTGTCACTACTACACGTACAGCAGCTGTTAGAGATGACTACTTGCTCTTAAATAGTAAATCTTATTGTCGTTCTTCTAAACACTAACGGAGATTATGATAAAAAAAAAACAGCGATAGTTATGATTATAACGGTCGTAGTACGAGCTCTTTCCTTTATCCGTTAAACCTTCCCATTTTTTGATAATTAAATATTAGACCGTTTACACTTACTAGGTAGCACCGCGAATGATTCATCGTCGTTCTACACTAGCATAAATATATTAGGTTCTGTAAAAAAATTGAGTCAATTGCAACTTACTTAATTAATCACTAACTGATTAGACAATATATAACTTCTTAGATCTTTGTTCAAAGGCGTTCAGGAATGAAAAACTTACAACAGTTACAGACACTCGCATGAAAATGAATGAGCTCCTCTAGGATATTATTATTTTATTTTAGCTAAAATTTATTCGTCATATATGAACAGCTAACGTAAGTGCTGCAAAATGATGGAAACCTTGCTAAATTTACTAGTGGAGTCTAAGGGAGGATCAAGGAGATCATCTCTACACTTTAAGATAGGTACTCAATTTTGCTGAGATGCCTAGGAGTATAAGGACGTCGTCGCAGCTATAGTTAACAAGTGATCCCAAGCCGATAGGTCCGTCATTTCGGCTTGAATTTTGCTTGATTATGCTTTGATGGGGCAGTAATCGTGGCGCATGACTGATAGAACCCTCGTTATATTGCAGGAACATTTGTGATAAAAAAGCATAATTTTTCTATTGGCCTTGCTTCAGGACTATCGTTATTGCTTTAGATGATTTCCTGCACTAGCTCGGCTATCCTTGCTTTTTAGCTTGAAAGTCTACTAAGCGTTTCACTCTGGCTCCATAGTTTTGCCGCAAGCTTCATGTCTCTAGAAGCGGCGCTTCCCTTTGTTATGTGACAATCCTTAAAATACTCGCCTGTCGTATTTTCGACTTCTTCAGATATCGCTAGATGTAGCGAAGTCTGTGCGCCCTCTTCGGGTGTCTTTCCGAAAAAGTAGAAGAGTGTGTTTAGGCAGCAATTCAAGAAACCGACATAAGTGGAATTTATATCTGTTTGAACTGCCCCCGGATGGCAAACGTTAGCTGTGACGCCGGTTCCTTTGAGGCGTCTAGCCAACTCTCGGATGAACAAAATATTTGCTAGTTTCGTATCCGAGTAGACCTGCATGGGGACAGTGTACAAAGCGTATTCTAAGTTATCGGGATCGATACGACCGAAGTAATGCAGGCTGGATGACAGCGAAATAATACGAGACGGCGCATTTTGCTTCAGTTTGTCAAGGAGGAGATTGGTCAAAAGGAACGGACCGAGGTGGTTGGTCTGAAACGTCTGCTCGAAGCCGTCGACCGTCTCAACGCGCTCGGGAAACGGAACAATACCGGCATTGTTGATAAGAACGTCTAAACGATCCTCACCTCGGTTAATATCTTCGGCAAAGTCCTTGATCGATTTGAGCGAGCAGAGGTCAAGCTTCTTAATAACGACGCATTTGCCTGTTTCAGCCTCGATCTCTTTGGCGGCCATCTCAGCCTTCTGGACATTTCGGCAGGCGATGATGACTCGCGCATCTCTTCGAGCCAGTTCCTTAGCGGTCTCTTTGCCAATGCCCGCATTGGCACCAGTAATAATCACAGTCTTACCACGCATACTTTTTTTAGACGTGCACATGCCGACGGTTAACCGTGAGTAAATCTTGCACGTAATGCAAATGAAAATAACTGCGAGAGCAAGTAATGCAACGGGCTCTGTCCAGGTTTGCGGTGGTCTCCTATTGAGCTTTTCCGAGTCAACCATCATTTTTAGCTGGTGCTAAATTTCTCTGTAGTTGACGTTTGTTAACAAGGAATAATCTGACACAAGTTTATTTTTCCACGAAATGTACACTTTTCAATAATCCTTCCTACCAACAAAGTATTCCGTTTGGCGCAGCTTTTGGCTCTCTTCCCTTCGTTTTACAGAGGGGGACACGATCCAGATTCGCGCCAACAAAACCGCCCCGTTTTTCCTCAAATACTTAACGAAGCCATTGCGCGTTGGAGACAACACGACGTCTTTACAAACACGTAGATCACTTTTAATAAGAGCACGATTTCATTTTCGTTAGTCCAATACGTCAACGATCATGACGACTCAGTATGGGCTATCTCATCACATGGTTTTTGCCGTCATCGAATTACCGCATGTACCCGCGCACAGCTGCCTCACTTTAGCGAGTGATACTGATACCGGCATCGCCCACTACCGCCGCCAACAGCAGCAGAAATGATCGTACGAAGCTCTTTTTTCCTTCTCTCTTGTGAACTAATGAAGTAGAAGCCACTCTCACCACCATCAAAAATGTAGTATTATCAAGCACCGCCGTGACTGCAGCGGCCGTAGCCTGCCGCTGTATATCTGGCAGAGAACCCTATTTATGTTGACTGTTGCTAGCCGGCCTCGTAGGGTGAATAGGCAGAATTAGATCTATCGCTTGTGTGAAAAACCCGTAATAGTAGCCATCCCTACACACGGTCAAACTGCGGGCTGTCGCCGAAGGCTTTTGCTAGTTTCAGTGCAATCGAATGACGAAGACCTACGCTGATTTAGGCTATCTTTGCTGTCGCTGAGTGATCGTGGGCATTGCAATTCGACACGCGCGGTACGCAGTTATCACGGTGCTAATGGACAGCCCTTGCTCTTTTCACGGAAAGTCGTTCAATAGACTTCACGGCTGACGTCAAGTGGGGTGAGGGTGTTATGTCGTCTTCGATGGGTCCCGTTATGCAGTGTCCTGCTCATTAAGTTTTTCAGTTGTTTGGTAATCCTGCTGCATGAAAGTGACAGCATCTCCAAGCTTTTTCGATGGGGTTGTAAGAGGTCGTCACTGCCATGAAGAGTGCATGCCGTTGACGGCCGTACCCCTGCCGCTGAACTTGTGCTTTGGCTGAGGCAGAGCCTTGTCCCTATTACTTAATTCGCTCATTCATCGCTACCCTATTGTGTACACTTTGTGCAGAACTATACCATCCTATCATTGTCTGCAACAGCAGCGGCAACAGCAATAACGGTAGTAGCTGTAAGCGTAGTTCGTGCTGGGAGCTGCACTGAACTGCCATTGGCAAAACTGGCTCCAATCCTAATGAATCTGATTGTGCCGTCTTCAGTATGGCCAATATCAGCAGATACTGTTTAGTCGCTCACGTCAGCGGTCGGCAGTACCTCGCTGGTTCGATTCACATTGCATTTCCATAAGCCTTCTGCCATTCATCATGGCTTGACTTATCTGTCCATCGGCCTGTGTTACTCCGTGTCTTTGTCCTTCAAAGCGGTCAACGCACCGCATCCGAGCCAAGGACGGCAGAATGTTAGTTATTACCATTTCATATATATATCGCTATTACAATTTTTACTAGAACTCATAGTGGCAGCGTTTTAGTATAAAGCTGTTCTTGACCGTGTTTGCAGCGGCACGACTGATGTGAACATGGCCACGGACGCAGTTCGTTGCAGTGGCCGAACACCAGCAGCAGCAATCGCCGATCGATCCATGACACGCCCTTTTATATTTTTTTACTATGACATATTGTGATAACAATATAGTCGGTGTACATACACGGCGGGTACGTTTACGATGCATCCATATGTCCACTGACTATTTTTGTTTTACACTATCGTTTTACAGAACTATGGTATCAATGGGACACGAGTAACTTACGACTAACGTTACAGATCTCTGTCTAAATGTGAGGTGCACTGGTCGTAAGTAAGTTCTCGTTTCCCATTCATACTACATAGAAGTAAGTGATATTTATTGTTATATCTCCCTCTCACGCGAGTCCTCTCGACAACTAAAGTCGTCATTTTACACACAGACGCACCTCGTGCCACTAAATTATCATACTATTACGTGTACTGGACATAGTTTACTGAAAGCTTGCTGAATAGATCAACGCTACATATAGGATATACTAAGTTGTTTGTTGATAATGCCTTTTCATCGAAAGGTAGAAAGGTAATTCATTCGTTGGCCACTTTCGATGTCCTCGTCAGAAGGGCTAACTTAGCTGAGGGCACTTTGAGGCACACTGTTATCGATTGTATATGTGTACATAACGTTAACTTTCTGAAGCTATTGAATAGGCTTTGAAAATGGTACACTAATAAAGGTTAATTCGATATATTCTTTCGCAAGGAAGTTGAATTTATCCCCTAAAACGTTTCCCCTTTGAATCTTGTTTTTTTCCGTTGTAACATTTTTTGCCCGTCATAATAGACCTAAATCATCGTATGATCTGTTCGAACATGATACACAATGTGCACGATTTTGTAAGCCTTATGTTAAAAATTACCTCAATATTATCTACTGCACAGGGGCGAAGTTTGCCTCTGTTCCCGTACTGGCTGGCTACGTAGAAGCGGTAGTAGTTAGAAACGTTTTTTTATTCAAATAATACTTTTTAGATCATTTTTGTGCATCTATAGCAATTACGCGAGCTGACATACGCGACTGCCTCGTTGGCTGACGCAACACGCCTAGTAACACATAACCAAGGTGAAACGGAACCACAAGTACATATATGGCGTTAATCCTTGAAGTTGTTTACCGTCACGGAGCAAGAAGGAAAATCGTCATAGTCATTGGTATGAGAATGAATATTGAACACTTCTGGGAAAACCGACACTTTCCAGCTGATGTTTGCTAAAAAAATACCATTGGTATCTCGAATTTATAAAGTTTCAAGCGGATAGCGCCATCGAAGTAAACAGACTAAGAGTTTCGGACCCAGTTGTCGATCCATGGTCGTTGTCCAACTCCTTAGTTTTGAGAACGTTCGGTAATTCTGCTGTGCCAGTCTTGGTGGCCAGAACAGCTAGAACAAGCAGAAATAAGTAAATACGTTGCATTTTCAAAATTCAGCTAAAAGATATTTTGTTCGTTTTAGAAGTGGTTTTAAATGAAAACAAAAGAGATAAAGATGTTTCACTGATAGTGAAGCGATAACATACCTGACCACTAAACTTACGGGAACGTGAAGTGGTCCAAGTTTAAAATCGAGCTAAACATACTTCGTTTCATGATAGAAGCCAGCCAGCCAGCCAGCCAGCCAGCCATCCTTAAAGGCTCTGCTTGACGTAAAATTAAAAATAAAAAATAACAGGAATCTTACGAGCTGTACTCTTTTTTCGAAATTATGCCCACGTTCACATATCTCTAGTGTCGACTCAGGAGGACCTTAATGTATTCTTGTTGCGTAAACGAAGATTTCGTCGTAAGTCACATAACGTATACGACGACGCTAAACAGGACATACTTCCGAATTTATGAGCCAGCACAGGTGCCATTCGTTCAGGCTGGCCAGTAGTGTCAAACAGTATAATAAAGTTCAATCAGAAGGAATGTTTATAGTTCACGGTTTTACCACTTGCGCTTCGCGGAACGGGATATGGGACAGACGACACGGGCATGGTTTGTGCTATTTAGTATACACTGCTATTCATAACAGCAGTAATCAATGCCGAATGAATAACACTAACAAATGATACGCAGTAGGGCAGCCAGTCTCACTTGCTATCCTTCGCGGTATCATTAACTCATATTGTCCGCGCGGATATTTACGAAAATCTTGCCAAAGTCAGTTCTTCCGCAATAATTGAACCATCATTGTTCGGATCATGTCGACTGTTTACCTAATGAAGAGTAGAAATGGCTTACAGATGTGAGTGCAATTTCCTGAAACTATTCGGAAGCAACCAGCAATATCAGAGAGAGAGACAGATATATGGCCATCGTCTTACGTTGTTTTTGAAGAAAAAGGAGCGAAATTTGACTATTGGCCAAATCGTCGAGCAGATGAGCTGAGCATATGGCAGATTTGCGGAGATATCGACTTCGTTTAATACATTATTTCCTCTGTTAGTTAAAAGAACAGATAGGAGATATGCATGTACGTGTATAACAGGAAATATACAGCGTATGTCGAGAGCCAAAGGGCCTGTTCATAGCAGGTACTGCACTGTGGACGTTTATAGTTGTCTGAAGGCAAGAGGACAGGGGGTAGGAGGGGGTAGTACGTATCAACTACAAAGAAAACCAGCACGAATATTACTATTTCTATTTAATCCGGACAAAATTACCCGTACACCGAACACATCTGTACATCTTTGAGCATACGTACAAAACAATGTTCAAGGGGTCGCCAAATTGCTCCCAATTTTGATCCCTGAGCGAACAAACATCTGAAGTAAATGGATGGGTGATAATTTCTAGAATTCTGCCTTTTCAAAAGTATTTCGCTTAATGACAATTTTAAACGAAAGCATAAATTCTTCTATATCGGTAAATGGCTGGATAAAAACAACAATCGTAAATTGTAGTAAAAAAAGATTATCATACTTCGGTAAACGAAATAGGTAATTTTGTGTCATTGGGCTACCTGTTGTTTTTGAGACACTTTTCTGAGGCAGGTAGGTCTTTACTCTTATATTAACGTGTTTTGCCACTACGGTACGAGTATACGCATCGCGATATATCTCTAGGCTAGTTTTTGTACCTTTCCATTGATGCGCTATGTTTTCAGCGCATGTATCTCATTTACACACATGTGCACGTGCATAGACGGTTGTTACTGGTCGTTTTCCTGTCCGTTGGCGTGACGAGAATATACAGATCGCCCGATCCAAAATCGCCGAGATAGGCAGACTGTTTTTCCTCTTAATTGCTCGTTACAGCGGATGCTGTTGGTTTCTGTTGTGTTCAAGCTGGCATTACCGGGATTTTTATTTTACGTATGATATCCATTAATCTTAAAGATGTGTTTATTTAGTCTGAGATGTGGAATTTCTTAGCATTTTATTATATGTTCGTTAGTTTTAGTGCTGCGGTAGTACCCTAGAGCTATTGCCGCTGTTGTTATAGACTATTTAAGTTATTCCAAGTCAATTAGAGCTTGGTGTGAGGTAGATTAGCGGCTAGAAACCAGTGGCGACCCTAGCCATCCCCACAATTTGTTGGATAGTTTGTTAAGGTTCAACTAGGTTGAAGTCGTGCAGAAATAAACTGAAGACAATTGTCACATTCGTCTACATAAATACATTCAGCTTGACCTGTTATTTTTTGAGCGGTTCGCAGTCGGAACAAGTAATTATATTAATACCTTAAAGTTCTTGAAATATCTTTATTATCACTTAAACATTAATAGATCAAAGAACAGGAAGAAGTTATTATAAAATGTAAACGCAGTGATTCCAAGCAACTCTAGCAAAATATTTATAAGCGCATAATTCCATTAAATCAAATTCGTCTACACTTTTCAATAATCAGCCGGCTTCAGTCAGCTGCTTTGACAACAACATGTTACATTTGATCCGCGTCTTAAGTATCTATCTATCTATCTATCTGTATCTATCTATCCATAACTATCTGTATCTATCTATCCATAACTATCTATCTATATCTATCTATAACTATCTATCTATCTGTCTATCTATCTATATGTATCTATCTATCTATATCTATCTATCCATAACTATCTATCTATCTATCTATATCTATCTATCCATAACTATCTATCTATCCATAACTATCTATCTATCGATAACTATCTATCTAGCTATCTATCTATATCTATCTATCCATAACTATCTATCTATCTATCTACATCTATCTATCTATCTATCTATCCATAACTATCTATCTATATCCATCTATCTATCTATCTATCTATCCATAACTAACTATCTATCTATCTATCTAATCTAAAAAAAAAAGCAAATTGTCGCAATCCGGTACGTCACCACCGGGCCTTTTTTATCACTACTACAAACTGAAGATTTTCTAATTGGTAATGTTATGAGCCAATCCAA